GACAAAAACCAATCGTTATCTCAACCACTAAACCACTGAACACTTGCAGACTTTTGAAAAATTAAATTTGTCTTCGATATCTCTACCTAAAACTATACATATTTAATTAAGACTTTATAACCATAAACTTCGTCTTGTTTTATCGTGGGATTAAAATTTACTAAATTATTTTCTTTAAAATATCAAGCTATTTAATTGATAGAACTTCTAACAGCTTATTACATGGCCATTCATATTAATTATTAAGACGATTTGTGATCATGATTTGTTCAATTATTGATTATCATTAGCTGTGACCATCGGAGAAATCGAGATTCGACGTTGCAAACTATATATGGCTGGTTGTGTCTACACAATTTCATAAATTTTTGTTGATATGTCGTATTCATATTTATGAAAGGGGGTGAACTATAAATTTATATTAATTGATAATTTCAAACAAGTAGTACTATAATATACTCATCAAAACACGCAAACATACACAATAATTGTTCTAATCGAAGAGATAGGGTGTCGAAAAAGGGAGATATCGTGTTTGTAAAGCATCATTAAAGTTAAAACGCTATCGATTACATTGAATAAAAACCATGCTTTGTCGTCCTATGATATATAGAAACAAATATTCGAGTCATGAATAAACACAGTACTTGAGAAAAAAAAAAAAAAGAATAAACACAGTACTTGAGAATAAACACAGTACTTGCGAATATATGATATAACTAATGCTCTTAGATCTTATGACACATTGATCACTGGTACTTTTTTTTTTCGTCTAGAATTTTTCCTTTATATTATACGATTGTGAAATGGGATTATTGTTTAAAATGCCCTTTTTTGGGAAAAACTTACGAAAATGCCCTTTTTTGAATAGTTTACGGATTTTGTCCTTTTTTAACACTTAAAAATGTACGTATTTAGGATTTTTTTTTCCAAAAATACGTACTTTATACCAAATACTAAACCCTAAGAACAAATGGAACCGACTAAACCCAAACATAACGAGTGAAACGCATGTTAAATCATATTTTTGGAGCATGAAAAAGGGCAAAATGCATAAACTATTCAAAAAAGGACAAAATCCACAAATGCCCTTATGAAAAAGGACAAAATCCGTAATTTATTCTTGTGAAATACAAGGGTGGAATACGATTTTGAAACATAAAGCCGGCGGAAAACAAATATATCCCCGGAAACTACGCCCAAACGAGGGAAACTTTGAGAAAAACGAATAAAATTACAATCTACGGAAACAAGGGGAACCACAAAAGGATAATCCCAATTAAGCCCATACATGAGAACAACGAAATTGGCGAGATAAAGAAGATCAAATAGCGGCACCTGACAGAGAATTTGACGAAGGATGATGAACGAACTTGCTCAACTCTTTCAGTCCAAGATCACAATAAACTAAACTAAGAGAACCTGACAAAGGATCCTGCTGACCGTGAGACGAAGACGACCAAACCAAACTTCTAGCAAAACCGGAGGAAACCCAATCAAGTGGGTGAACTGACCCATCCGTGATTTGCAAAATGAGGAAACCGAAAGAACACTCAGCCTGGAGACACCATGGAAGGACAAAAAGAGACGAACCACAAGCAAATTCCAAGATACATTTCCGAAGAAAACACATTTCCGAAGAAAACACACCATTGATCACTGGTACTTATTTTCTTTCTTTTTTCGTGTTTAGATTTGTTTTTGTTATTTATTAATATTGCTTTGAGCTGCGTGGGGGAATTAAAGTGAAAATGAAAGGAGCAAAATATGTAAACAAATACTAAGAGTATGGACAGTGGGGTAAGCGGATGTGTGTGAATCTTGGGGTGTAGGTATTAAAAAAACGAAAAAATTGTCTCTCACTTACACCCGGATGTAACACTTTTTCTCTCTATCTCTCTCTTTTTTTCTCTTTCTCTTTTCTCTTTTTCTTTAAATTATAATACTAAAAAAATACGTACACCCACACAAACACATTTACCACTGTCTCATGGTCTAATAGAGAAATAATAAAATTGAGTCATTAGAAACCAAACCCGTTAACTGCGATGACAACAACAGTTTCCGCGTTCCGAGTTTCTTCTGCTTTCTCTTCTTCATTAGTTTAGCTTTTATTCATTTTCCACTCACATACTTATTTGTCACTCACGCGCCGCGCGTGAATAAAAACAAAGTATTATCACTGCAACAGTGTTTGGCTTTCTAGTTCCGGATCTTACGGCCGTCAAGGAAAATCTTGTACGGGTGGGTGTTTTAATTTTATTATCATATCCTAATTCAATCCCAAATGTTCAGATTAACTATGTAAAACAACAAGAAAAATAATGGTAGAAACTAGAGAATGATTTGGGAAAAACTTTTTATTATGTGTTATTGATCTCAATAGAATTGATACACAATATACTATATATAAAAACTAACTTATGTTTAACTTAATTTGAATAGGAAATAGATAAACATGAATAAGTAAATATTCTAAATCTCTTAATCTTTATCACAATAGGATATCTAGAATTTTCTTTGACTTTAGCTTTATAGACTTCACGAGCTCGGTCCGCTCTCTTGTTTCTCAAGTTACCTCAATAATAATATAGCTCCAGAAAAGAGAAGCTAACGGCGAAGGTCATGTGGATTTAGATCCCAGCTGCTGTCAATACATCTTTATTACAAAAATTCTAATCCGCGAGAGATAATAATATTTATGTTACACCTGCAAACCTTTTTTTGATAGCTCATCACGTTTGATCCATGGATTGGACTAAAATGATATCCAGCATCATCAGAGAAAATTCATGCACCTATTACATATAGCCGATCCAAACAATAATTATATCCTTAATCCCGCAACAACAACAAAATATAAGTTTATATCCGAGAAAAAAAGAATATATTGTATATATTAACGATCATCAATAATTCAACGTAGCTGCAAATTTGAGTGCAGTGTGCAATCACAGTAAAAGTTAAACAACGTTTTCGTATGTATTACAACGTTGGAGTTCAATACTTTTTTACTGTGAAAGAATTGGGATTCTCATTTAGTGTACTGATTAATTATGCTGCAACATGCATATGCATGCCTGTCCCTTGAGCAAAGATATATACTTAATTATTGGATATGTCGTCATCCATGAAATAATAATATCTTTGCAAGTGGTATCCTATGAATTTATAATGCAGACAGAACACTGTGTGATTCAATTTTGGATAGTTTTATTGGATTTTTAGACGACTCGAATTCCTTATTATTGACTCATCAGTGGCAAAATAATTTCATTCACGTTCTAATTATCATGACCACACGTGGTTTCTATATGATACGTTGACATGGAATGTAAAAACTAAAAAGAAACGAACCCCTAGTGACTCTTAATTACGAGTTATGACACCAGGCTTATAAACTAACATTTGATTTAATTTACACACTCTAGGTATTTCATTGATTTAACGCACCATATACATAGTTTTTTCAAATAAAGAATCCAAGTAAGCATTAAGATATACTCATATATGGTGTACCTTTCACAATCGACACATTATTAAACTTATCCATATATAACAAGGAGAGGTTCCTAAATATATAGTTTATAGGGTACATTTATTTCGACAGCTTAATTAATTAATATCTATGTTGTTTTGGCTAGCTCTTGCTTTCCTTTTCAGCGCGCGAGACTGCCTTATCTTATCTTATATGAAAGGTCTCGTTTCTTCTTCGCTCTATCTACATATCATATTTTGATCTCCTCATTTCTCTAAAATATACCAAAAGTTTTATCCAACATTCTTCTAGAAACATTATCATTATCAAATAAGGAAAAAAACAACAACAACATAATGATACAAACAACGAGCCTTTTTAAACGTTTTTACGATATCATGCATGCATTACATAATTTTCGAGATAAGAATTGAAATTTGAATACCAAAGGAGACTAAATATCCTTTAATCTTTTATATACGTGGCAGAAACAAAATTTGAGTCTGATCCGAATTGTATTAATTACTTCGATATCCAATGGTGATGATCAACGAACGAGGGATTAGGATGACATGTAAGCAAGAAAAGAGTGGGAACCACAATAAGTGTGGCATGATATGATGACACGTCAACCTTGTCGATAGGACCCATGATCATCAACTGGATAATGTGCATGTTACAGGACAAAACCGTATCGACGTTACAATCAAAATGAGTGGCTAAAAGAGTAAAAGATAGGAGCTACAACATTATGATAGTATGTTTTATCTTCGTGTTTTTTTTTCTGCCAAACAAGAAAACTAATATCGATGAGACTGCCACATATTCAATTTAAAACCATTCACATCAATATCGATCATTTATCTTCGAAAATGAAAACGAAAGAAATGCATAACTTTTTTTGCTAGAACTCTTCGAAAATGATCTTTGATTTGTGCGTGATGGTTTTGACAAATGTCTTTACTTAAGCAATCTTAGCCAAAAACACATTTGATAACTGATTCGGGAAATATAAAATATTGATCTACTATTCTGATGTACCATTTTCAGCTGTATTTGCTCGTGGCGTCTAATTTTGGTATTATAGAAGAACAAATACCGACCTTTCTTAGTAAAGGAAAGATAGAAAATTGATGATATTTTATAATACGAATCTTACATTGATTGATTTGGTCGGTCCATTGTAATCTATTAGAATAGTAACAAGTTTTTCGTTGGACGATTATGGGCCCGATTGTTAAATATGGGCCTACTAATAAAGAAAAGTCACTAATGACCACCGAATCTAGTCTCGTCTATTAAATTTATAGACTACTAGATAGATAGTAGATACAGTATTTAGTTTTGCTTTTATCTTGGATTAGGATGTTGCCGAGCTGGATTAGATCAAATCACAAACTTCAATTTACACTTCATTATTGAATTACTATGTTATAGTCAAGTAGCAGTGTCTCAACTTGCTGAAGATTCTGAATTTATATGATAAGATCAATGATTCAATGTCTTTTACCTTGCTAAAAAATGATGTACTAAAATGCGAGTAACTAAAGATATTACATATCTTCTTTTGGTTTAAACTTTTAATATCATATATATGTTAGTACACTAATAGACTAGCTCAAGAAACAACCCATGAGGGCAAGTATCATGGTTGAGACAGAAGACACAAATGGGCACTTTGATTTGACCAACCAGTAGGAGTTGCACATTCATACATACGTATGTACGTATACAAAAATCGTCTTCTCCGGTTAAGTGAGCACTGTAATGCTACACCGGCCTTCTAAGGAAACTTTGATTCTTCAGCTTTTCCATGATCCGATAAGAGTAGAGACCTTTTTCTACAACTATTATGACACCACTTGCTCGTCTACCAATTAACCAGGAAGGAGAAGATGATTAGGACTTGTGTCGCTTCAAGCGAATCCACCAAATGATGAAGTTTATGATCGAATTTAGTGGAGGAGATAGATTTAACTCACTGAGTATGAAGTTTGAGAGGTTGGATTCTGATGGTTTGGGCTTGGCCTCTTCAATCACGATCTCAGTTGAAGAGTCGCTTGAGAATCCTAGCTTCTGCATTATTTTCTCTAATCTCTTCCCGTTTGTCAGATACAGATAACCAATCTAGAAATTGAACAGATAAAGCGTGTTTAGTATCACACAAATTAAGTGACAACAAGAAGATTTACCTTCAAACAGAGTTAGAAGCACAAAGAAGAACGCAGTGTAAGTTTAGTTAGATATTGGGGTTACTTACTAGTGTCTCCAATGATGATGCCTTGTTATAAACCGCATTACCTGCACGCCTTCTTGTACGTGTTCTAGCGGAACCTAGATTTTTTCCCCACCTAAGAATATCCCTGGAGATAATACAAATTCATCAGATGGATAGAAACCAATAAGAAGTGGAATCATGTATCTCAGCAGAGAAAAGTTGGATGCTGAAATAGTGGGTTTTGTGTACTGACCTCTCTTCCTTTGTTAAGAAGTCATCATCAACAAGTTTCTTCAGCAAAGCATACTGAATAAAATTATGAGAAAAGTTAACAGTTAACATTATATATGTTCAAACAAGGAAAATGATGACAAGATGAATGATATGTTTGAAATTTCTGAGATGACCAACATATAAGAAAACTAAGATGGTTATGCTGATACCAATATGAAGAAGTAATGAATTCCCATATTAACAGTGTAACGAGGTGAAACAAACAAAACTACTCCGCAAAATCATGAAACCGAACAAGCACCAATACACTATTTTCAAGAATGGAGATAACATCAAAACAGTATACAATACTGATTTAAGAAAACACAGGAGGTCAAAAGATAACAAACCTGTGCTTCACAGCGCACCACTGCTCTAACACGATCGTTATAATCTTCAATACTGAGCGGAGGGAAAAGAAAATGCCTACGAGCATATAGCTACACAACCAAGAGAAAACTATTAATGAAGTCTGATTCGCGGCAAAACTTTCTGGAAAGAAAATTGCTCATTCCAATCAAGGGAAGTCTATCAAGATTGATCCAACAAGAATTAAGAGCAAAAGCTTGCCTAAAAGCATGAAACACAAAGCTCAGATTGTAATGTAAAAAACAAACCTCAAAAATGGAATCGCCTATGAAGGCCAAAGAAGCAGCATTGAAGACTGATCTTGGTTTCTCCAACTTTGGTGGACTTGGAGACCATGTCTCATATCCCATATACGTATCATCAACGTCAACAGTTAATTCTACATATATAACACAAACAAATATTTAGTAAAAAACCATCTCTAATAGAACCAGGAATTGAAAATTTTGAGAACTCTTCTACAATTCATTAGAGTCTGGTTTATCAAACAGAGATTTGATAACGAAACATCGAAATTGAATCAAACCCGAGTTAAAGCGTCTACCTTTACTTGCGGGACGCTTGAGCAAATCAGCGACGGAGATGCTGATTCCTGGAGACGGTGGAGGTGACGGTGGTGGTAAGAATGAATTATTGTTAGGGGTTTTCTTAACTTTTCGCGGCGCATTAGGGTTGTACGGAAGTCTAGGTTGTGTATCTAAGGCAGCTCTCACGGTGGAGCTCGCCGATAAAATCACCATTTTTCTGAAGCTTCTCTTTTTTTTTTTTTTGACAGCGGCAACGATAAGGCGGTGACGGTTCATTTATATAAGGCGGTGACGGTTCATTTATACACGTGGCGTATTATTATTCGTCTGTTAGCCTTAAGATTTATGAGGCCTCCGTCTTCTTCCAAGTAGTAAAACCCTGATGGCTAACGGTTCCGTTACATGAATGGGCTGAAATTGGGCTTTTTAATAGGTTATCAGAGCAATGTCTTCTTCTATGCATAAAGAGTGTTTATCAATTTTGGATTCTGTCTCGAAGAGAACCAAATTAATTTCATTGAGAACTTGGAAGACGTTTAAGTGTTCATTTTCTTGAGCTATCCATTCTTTTTCTCACAAGGTCAAATAACTAAGATTTTTTTTTATGGAAACGTTTTAGCTAGCCAATGGTTATAGCTAGCTAACTATTACTGTCTACTTGACTCTTTGTTGGTTGATGTACGGCTAAAGGAAAATGAATTGTAAAGCAGATTCTCCATCATGTTACTTGGACATGAAAACCTTTTAGCTTATTTTCTAGATTATGGTCACCGGAAAACTCCGAGATACTTTTTGAGGGATCGTGTATTGTTCTTCTGTAGAAAGATTTTGATTTGTCGGTTTTCCTCTTTCCTGCATTGTCATCTATGTTTGTCTTTCTCAATTTCACATACAACTACCTCTCACTCCTTTAGTGAGTAGGGGTCATTGCTTACCTGGAATTGCATTTCGGTTTTTCTTTTTTCACCATTCTCTTGTCTATTCGACTAACAAATATTTTTCTGGTGAGTAAATGATTGCAATATCTCCATGTGAGAGACCCTAAGACTTGCATTTAGTGGTCCATGAATCTCCTCTGTAGTGTTTGATATCACTTGTCGACACCTATGTGAGGACCCTGCAGGTTTTACCTGTTCTTTTGTATAAGGTTAAAGTTAGAACTTTATCTCCACTTTAAATGACAATGTTTTTTTAGCAGAGACCCACCTTCATGACATTCCCTGATAGTCTAAACTATCTACTTTTTGCTTATGTTTTTGTTGTCCTGTAGTAGCTGCAAAGCTGGTTTGGGGCAGATGAGCCACTATTACCATAGAAGCAACAACGAGAGCTCTTCGAATGGATGTTGGAGGCGAGAAATCTAACACCAAACGAAGAAGCGAATCAATGGTAGAGAAACCGATAACAATGCAGATTAACTTTTTACCTAAACTATGCCTTTACTCACTTATGAAGATATTCTATAGCTTTTGATTCATTTGAGTTTAATTTTGAAGCATAACTCTTGTTGATGTTAGGTTCAGTCAATGGTCATGTGGGCACTAATGAAAAACTGATTACTTACAAAGATTTGATTCCTATAGAGTTTGTTCAATTTTAACACTTCCTAACTAACAGCATATGTGTTGTTCCTTATAATATACATTGTCCATAGATCTGGCAAAAAAAAAAAACGGATAGCACAAATTTCAACGAAGGGACAAAATGTTAGTGGTTTTGCATGAATTTCATAAAGAGGACAAAGGATCATGTTCTCAGCTATCCAAAACCCTAGAGATATGTTGTGAGATCAATTGGGAAAGAAATATTCTCCAGCTCAAGTGGTTCTTCACATGAAGATATGGTCCAAATGAAAACAACCCCACAATTCCCAAAATTGTAAATAACATTGCATTTATATGTGCATATTATTTGGCTCTCATTGATTTCAAATTGTTCTTTTTATTATTCTAGTTCTATCAATTCTCTCAATCTTGGTGACTTTCTGGGGCAAGCAAATATACAAATTTACGAATACTTTAGTCAAAAACCCTCTCGGATTTCCAAAGATGCACGCCCTTAAATTAAAGACACTCATGCAATAATTAGATATGATCAAAGCACTAATTTGTATTGTATGAATCTATCCCTTTTTCTCTTTATCAAAATGAATATACAACTAAAGTGACGATCATATGGTAATAAGATAGCTCCCGTGTTAGGTATTGCTTGAATGAAAAGCTAAAAAATGGCGTTAATAGATATGATAAAAGAATCATAGGTTTCCCAAAAGAATGATTATTTTTTAACAACACTATTATAAAGTGAATAAAAAGAGAATGGCAAATTTTCTTGTTTGGCATTAGTCAAAAGTTTAGTTATTTAATTACAATGAAAAGATTAGCTTTTCTGGCTCAAAGTATGGTACAATCAACGATCGCCAAAGTATTCAAGCGGCTAAAGAATCTCACTTCCTTAGATTCTAATATCTTATACCGCTCATAGTCATATACACACACTATTTATATTTATAACTTACATGTATTATGTATACGTTTATATGAAAGTGAGAAGGTGCGCATGTGGTCTAATCATGAGGAGATTGAATTAGCATTAATCATACTTTTCTTGTAGAGCTTCGTTTCATTACGTAAGATGAACATTAAAATATAAAGCCGGTCCAATAATTGACTCTGTTTTTTTTAGGATGCTGGCCCGGTCCAGCCTCAATTCTATAGAGTATAGACTAAGCTATGGTACATCCCCAAATATAAGGAAATAAAATACATTTTGGTTAACCGGTTCTGATCTCATATGAACCAAATCAAAAGCAAACCAGATTTTCTCAAAGTCCCAAGAAACCGTGCTGATCCGCGTACGTATAGTATTGTAGCCAGTGGCCCAGTACCACACTATATATATGTAGTAGATCTAATGTACACCGTATTTCAAAAGGTCATTGATTCGACGACTTCTAAAAATATAATAATCAATTGATTTTCACAACTATAGCTAATTGGCATGTGTACACACATTCTGATCTAATGCATATCTTGACACATACATGATATATATGGGCATGCATGTATCCTGTATAATCATGCAAAAATGTGTAAATATATGTGAAATAAGAAAGGTGGCCTAATGGAGTTTCGCACGAATTCGCACCCAAAATACCCCACAAGCCAAAAGACACTTAGCACACTTTTCTTCGATTTATTCTGTCTATTTTCTATACAAAAATTTCCTCATACAACCTTACCTCTTCAATTAGTTACTTTTTGAACAAAATAATAGATATTTGTTTGGCTCAAATAATCGATATACAAGTGTCAGCTTTATCAAAGATTCAAAATTTCAAACAACTTATTTCTTCTCTCTTTCTCTCGATATATATTTCTTAGCAAATCCACTATATATTATCACATCTAAAATTTATATTATGTTGAGTTTTGAAACATAATCTCCTGAATCCGTTGTGTGATCATTAAACATAATTTATATAGTTTGAATTGGTTCTCATTTGAGAACTCCATGAGATACCATCTCTCTCATCAAAGATGAGACACATGTCTTTTTATGAGTGGCTAAAGTTTTTTTGTGATAAATCAAATACTCTATACTCTATAGTTTAGAATACTAATTAAATAGTTTATATATTGTTATTTTTTCCTTTTTATTATGTTATAAATCATAAAATAAAATTACCTATTTATTAAGCTCCATTATGCATAAATTTAAACTATATAAATATTAGTTTAATTAATATTAATCAAGGATAATATAATAATATTAAATTATTATTAGTATTGTTTTAGTTAATACATTAATATTTTAAAAATATGAGATTTGAAAAAATAAAAATTATATTTTGATATGTTGTTAGAATTTATCATAAGATTTAAGATTGAATGAAAAATTGTACTCTTTTTACATAAAAAAATAAATAAATTGAAAACATAAAAATATCAATACTATATTGATGAGATACCCAAAAAGGTATAAAATCTCACCAATGGAGAAAAAAATCTAGACAAATAATTTCTCAAACTAAATTGACTAAAAATAGGGATATTATAATGGTGAAATACCTACCTTATGAGTATCTCATCCCCCAGTAGATATGTAAACTTTTCTATATATAAATTTATATTAAAAAATCTAAGATAAAATAAAAGAATTATCAGCCACATGATTTGTTGCCACACCGCACCATGATTAAAGTTATATAAAGAGATACCAAGACAGATTCAAAGTGAAAGAAAGTCCCAAAAACAAAAAACCAATTTAAAAAAACACAAACCCATTCGTGCGTCTGGCTAATTAAGTTAAAACAGTAATGGACACTTCTTCTTCACTTTTGCTCTTCTCCTTCTTCTTCTTTATCATCATCGTCATCTTCAACAAGATCAACGGTCTCAGATCATCCCCAGCTACGAAAAAACTTAAAGATTATCATGTTATTTCTCACAGTCACGGACCAAATATTATTTTTGTAAATGTAATAAAAAAAACATAAGCTATATGCAATACAATTTGAAGAAAAAAAACAACCACATCTATTTTATTGGACAAGCGACGAGTCATGTAACAACTCTTATCCCTCTCTCTATACGTGTTCTTTAATCTAAAAATTATATATATATATACGTGTTTATGTATGTGAAGGTATGGGAGAGTCTTTAAGTCGCATATATTTGGAACGGCGACGATCGTATCGACGGATGCTGAAGTGAACAGAGCCGTTTTACAGAGCGACTCGACGGCTTTCGTGCCGTTTTACCCGAAAACGGTGAGGGAGCTAATGGGAAAATCGTCGATACTTCTGATCAACGGGAGTTTACATAGAAGGTTCCATGGACTAGTCGGTTCTTTCTTAAAGTCACCACTTCTCAAAGCTCAAATCGTTAGAGACATGCACAGGTTTTTGTCTGAATCCATGGATCTATGGTCCGAGGACCAACCAGTTCTCCTCCAAGACGTCTCCAAGACTGTCAGTACACGTATCCCTTAATTTAATATTTTCATACAAAAGTTCTAAATACTCCACTTAATTATATATATGAGTTAATGGCTTAATGCATTGATTAAGAAATTAAAAGGACAATCATAATCATGTTACCATGGAAATATTAATTTATTGTAAAGAACATGGTTACAATTATTACATTTGATAAAATGATTACAAGTTTCTCTTTCTAATTTGTTTAACAACTAATTATTACCCTTTTAGTTTTTTTTTTTTTAAATGTAATAATTTGTTTTTTTTTAATTGGTAGGTTGCATTCAAAGTACTTGCCAAGGCATTGATAAGTGTAGAGAAAGGAGAAGAGTTAGAAGAGTTAAAGAAAGAGTTTGAAAATTTCATATCAGGACTCATGTCATTACCAATTAACTTCCCTGGAACCCAACTTCATAGATCTCTCCAAGCTAAGAAGAATATGGTGAAGCAAGTTGAAAGAATCATAGAAGGCAAAATTAGGAGTGCAAAGAACAAAGAAGAAGATGGTACTGTGATTGCTAAGGATGTTGTGGATGTGTTGCTTAAGGACTCAAGTGAATATTTAACTCACAATTTGATTGCTAACAATATGATTGACATGATGATCCCTGGCCACGATTCTGTCCCCGTCCTCATCACCCTCGCCGTCAAATTCCTCTCTGATTCTCCCGCTGCCCTCAATCTCCTAACGGTAATTAACCTTAAACCATAATCAAGTGATAATAGTTTAGTGGTCAACTGGTAGCTAAATATTTATTTTTATTATATGCTTTCATGCCATTATTATAGATGACTATAAATTTCGGTAGTTAGTATGAAATTTATATAAAATCTTATAGACATAGAAGAAGAAGAAGTTTATGATATAATGATAGGCTTTTCTCTCTTTCACAATAGAAAAATCAAAATCAGTCATTCAAATAAATTAGTGATAAGCTGATATTAACTCGTGGGCCGTGGCTATATGATTGCCACTAAAATCTATAAGCTAATTTTACTTTATAAAATTCTTTTCTATCAGGAAGAAAACATGAAGCTGAAAAGTTTGAAGGAATTGACAGGAGAGCCACTATATTGGAATGACTATTTGTCGTTACCTTTTACACAAAAGGTATTTATATATTCTTCTTTTCCATGGAATTAGTTCATTATATGAATAGTTCTCTTGTTAAACGGTGATTAATTACCTTTTTAATTATAATCAGGTCATTACAGAGACACTGAGAATGGGAAATGTTATAATTGGAGTGATGAGAAAGGCGATGAAAGATGTTGAAATAAAAGGATATGTGATACCAAAAGGATGGTGCTTCTTGGCCTATTTCAGATCAGTCCATCTTGATAAACTTTACTACGACTCTCCCTACAAATTTAATCCCTGGAGATGGCAAGTACGTAAAATTACCAAAATATATTTAACATATAATCTTATAGTACTTAATATGAATCATATATTTAACTAGATATACATTTATACAATAGGAAAGGGACATGAACACGAGTAGTTTCAGTCCTTTTGGAGGTGGTCAGAGATTGTGCCCTGGTCTCGATTTGGCTCGTCTTGAAGCTTCAATCTTTCTTCACCACCTTGTCACTCGCTTCAGGTAACTAATCAATTACATTGATACAAAATTATTGATATTTGTTGTACTTTTTTAAAGATTTGAAGGAAAAAGGGTGTGGTAAGTGCTCTATACTTTAGACAAAATGGTACGTTAGGACCAAATAAGTCTAGTCTCTTTTTGACAAGTTGGACTCAACTCTTAAAACGATGTAGTGACTTATTTGAAAATATGTTGGTGATTATGATATGCAGATGGATAGCAGAAGAAGATACAATCATAAATTTTCCAACGGTGCATATGAAGAACAAATTACCCATTTGGATCAAAAGAATATAAATCATTTTTCTTAAGTGAAAAATGGAGAATCAATTTTGCATTATCAAACTCAAAAAAAGGTTAAAGAAGTCACACGAGTGTTTTGAGAGTGGGAAGTGAAAAAGATAGTGAGACAGAACAGATAGGAAAAAAAAAAGACAACATGATGGAGTTGGGAGACAAAAAAGAATTCACACGTGTGGAAGATGATAGCACACATGCCAACTATTTTGTCGTATTCCTTCACAAGGCAAATAAGAACAGAATCACAAACCTTTTTTGTTGACCGTATAATTTCTCGTTTTCCCTTTTTTTTTTTTTTTTAAATAGTACAAACTACAAAGGTGTATGATATTATATAAATGCAGGATATTCAGAATCCTAATTTTCACGAGTATTTTTCCTCTCTTTTTTTGGTTTTAATGTTAAGGACGACTATTCTTGATTTCCTGTTCGTATATATTATTCATGAAAAACTAAGAGAATCATTATAGAAAAACTTATAAATCTGGTTCAATCATTTATAACTTTCCAAAAGAATAGTCTAATAAAGATACTATGATATTCTAAATTTATATTCTCAATCAATTTTTACAGTTAATTATCATTAGTTGTTTTTGTAATATTTAACAGAATGTGTTTTCTAAATAGTCAGTCACTGATTAGATAGATTATAATGGGATTTTGAGATGAGGAAAAAGTTGAAAGACAGCCTTTGGCCTCAAAATAATTTAGATGTAATAATGAATGATTAAGCAAGTGATATGATGTAATCAACATAACAACCCACTGAAATTGATTTAAACGACAAGACAAGAAAGGTTTATTGTTTCGACTGAACATCACTAACAACCAGATCATCATACTATTACTATCTATCACTAACCAAAAATTGTACTATATTACATTTTTCTCACTATTGTGACTCAGTGACTACAGGTTAACTTTTCACCTCAGAATCACACAAAAATAGCCTTTATAATTGATTTGGATAAAGTGGGCTTCACTTTGAATAGATCCGTAATTAAAGCCTGTTAAAGGCCCAAAGTAATGCAAATGGAAAAGCCTAGTTATTAACAAGACGGGAGACATGTTTAGACAGACAGCTAGGGGTTTTTACTTATTTTATCGCCGCCGTTGTAAAATCACGCAAAGTGAGAAAAGGGTTTTGAGATTTTCGTGTTTTTTTCTCACTTTTTTCCCAATCCTTTTAGTTTTTCAAGACCTTGAATTTCATGTATGTATGGTTAGTTATTTCCCGTTTGGCCTTATAGGGTTTTGTTTTCTCGATTTTTAAGGTGAAGTTTGCATGGCTTTGGAGAAAGCTTTTTTTAAGTGAAAAATTTCAGGGATGCTAATCCAATAGATGGCGGATACGTTTTCCAATCACGAATCTTGTATGATCACTAACCATTGGAAGTAAAAGAGTATATATGACTTCGAACGGTTTGCAATACGGAGGCTCATAGCAACCCTTTCTTCTTGCTAATATTGCAACTTGCAAGCCGTTCAAATTAAAATAGTCATCATTTAGTTCTAGGTTGGTGATCATATAGGATTGGTAACAGTGAAACATATCCCCCATCTATCGGGATTAATTAGTGTCCCTGAATAGTCGTGAGAGAACCTTGTTTGTGTCTTTCCTTTACGGCAGACACCAGAGACTGGAAGACCTATACACCATGAGTCTGACACGCTAAAGAAAGCCTATCGATGCGGATCGTCCAAGGGAGAGCATGTGTGATCAGGGACGTTCGCTGTCTTGGGCCAATATCTTTTGAAATTGGGTTAATACAAATGTAATTTGGGCTGACTAAAATCATGATAAAGTCCGAGGGACTATAAATAATTTACTCATTGTTCCTGCCGACATTACACGTGGCGAAAGAGTGGTTACATGCCAGAGAGACTCCTCTAGAATGGGGTCACGTGTAGCCTATGTGACAATTCAATAATGCCATCTCGCTCGGTGACACCGTGTCTCTTACTTTATCATTAGTCTTTCAAATAAATTATATAGTCATGTAAATCATCTACTTATAAATTGCTGTTACCCAAATCCCGAATATCTAAATTTTCAGACATTGACGAAGTACTGAATCAAATCCTTAAGCTATACTATGGATCTAAATGGTAACCGAGGAATCTGCCTGAATCCGGCTGAATTGCTGAATTTGGCTGAATTTTTAGTGATTTTTAACTAAATCTGGCTGAATTTTTACATTTTCAAATGGTAACCGCTGAATCTAGCTGAATTTTTTTGTGTTTTTCAGCAAAATCTGTCGAAATAATTAAGATTTTAACTGAAATATCATCAAATAATTACGAATATTAATAGAATAACTAAGGAAAAATATCTAAATAAAATAGATAAAATTATCTAATAGTCTAATTAACTCTTATACCAATAAATAAATACTAGAATTAATATCTTTTTAGCAAAATTGAGTTGTTCTTCCAAATCTAATTTTTAAACTATTAAAAAGATATAATTAATTAATAGAAAGCTTTGTCAAAGTTTTATTGAAAAATTAATTTAAAAATAAACATGATAATATAGTATAGATTATCTTATTGATTTTTCATTGTTCTCTAGCAGTTTAAATTTTTAATATGATTAGGATGAGTATGAGTTATTTTTGCAAAAATGTAGAAAATTATATTTAAGTATCTAAAATTTATTAAAATTATCTAAAATTATCTATAGATATCTGAATATAAATATGTCTCTTGTCTATTCTGGTAATGATTTTATGTGTATGAATTATTCATATATCATATTTGTATGATCTAACTTAGTTTAAAATATAAATTTGATGTATAATTTTTAATAGCCATAAATATTTTAATTCGAGTTGTGAATCGCTATAATCCAAATTTTTATCTGAAATGAACATACTATGTATCTGTTGATGTTGAAAAAACTGTTGAATCTGGTTGAATTCAGACAAATTTAGTTTTATGCAAATGATAACTGCGGAATTGCTGGCTGAATATTTTTTTCTTGTTACCATTTACATTGACTCTATATTGTAATATTATCACGTTATTTCGTGGAAAACAATCACGATCTAATCTTTTAAAAACACAATCTAATTAATCTTGTTTTATTCCATAAACAAAATGTGTATCACCTAATTCTCTGGACCTTTCATAATTCATATATACATAACAAACAGTCTTTTCATTATTTTCATTTATTTCTCTGTTCAATCTCACAGGCGCTACACCATAACGCGATATTACTAATGACGAACTACGGTGCGATTCCGACGTCGTCTCATGCATCTCCGGTGGTGGATCTTGAGTCTCTCTCACGCGCCAAGCACCGTATCAAAGCCGGACTAGCCACGCGCCGTCCTTGGAGAGTGATGTTCGATTTTCACTCCATGGGACTACCTCACAGCGTCTCCGATGCTTTCACAAGAATCAAGACCAATCTTGCTTACTTCCGTATGAACTACGCAATCGTTGTCTTGATCGTTATCTTCTTCAGCTTGATCTGGCATCCGACATCGCTCATCGTTTTCACCGTCTTGGTCGCTGTTTGGATCTTTCTTTATTTTCTCCGTGATGAGCCTATCAAGCTGTTCCGATATCAGATCGATGATCGGACGGTCTTAATTGTTTTATCGGTGTTAACCGTCGTTCTACTTTTGTTGACCAACGCGACGTTTAATATTGTTGGAGCGCTTGTGACCGGAGCTGTGTTGGTTTTGATCCATGCGGTGGTTAGGAAGACAGAGGATCTTTTCTTGGATGAAGAAGCGGCGACGACTGAGACTTCTGGGCTGACGTCATACCCGTCGACTTAAATGGATTGATCTCGAACTTTGTTTTTTTTTTTTTTTTTTGTATATTATCTTTGTTTTTTTTAATAATCATTTTTATGTGTAATCAATTTTTATTGGTGTGAGTTTGGTTTGAGACTCATTCTCTCTTTTGTTTTTGAGCTTTGAGTTACTGTCTGAAGTTTGAACAATTCTAAATTGTTACAATTTTTATTATTTTATATTCGTAAGCCTCAGGATAGTTTCTTGGAATGATTTAATCTGGAATATTTTAAACACAATAGGAATCATTTGGATTAATCAACCGAAAAGGAACATAAATCACTTTCTACAACTAGCTGAACAATGTCAACTCTTCGCTTTTTTGGGTAGATGCTTAGTTTTGTGTCTCCTTATATATAATTGGGCCTTACAATTGTAGCCCATGTAATTCTAAACGGACGCCGTAAGATATGTAACACTACTAGCCTGTCACACATGTTGTACGCGCAGCTCCCTTCGGCGCTTAGCACCACCGCTAAACTCGCCGCCGGTTAGTACAAGAAGCAAGCCGGTGAAAATGGCGTATCACCAACCATAGTATATCAACCTCATTCTCATCCCCATAATCTTGTTAACTCAAATACACTGGACGGGGCAGACCAAGTTTCTCTAATTCGATTTGATCAGACATTGACCAAACTGATACAATTTCTAACGCTACAATATTTTTTTATAACATCACCCTACATTATTGTAATAGTATCACAAATTTTCTGTGGAAACTAATCTTGATATAATGTAATAAACATCATCCAATTTATTTTGTTTTATTCCATATGCAAATGTGTATCACCTAAAAATTCAAGAGACCTTCATTTACTCTATATACAGAGCCAAAACTATAAATCAGGACAGTTTTACATTATTTCTATCTAGTCCTCTGACTAAATAATGACGAACAACAACGCGATTCCGACGTCGTCATCTCCGGCAGTGAATCACGAGTCTATCTCACGCGCCAAGCAACATATCAAAGACGGACTAGCCACGCGCCGCCCCTGGAGGGTGATATTCGATGTCCACTCCATGGGACTACCTCACAACGTCTCCGATGCTTTCACAAGAACCAAGACGAATCTTGCTTACTTCCGGAGTAATTACGCAATCGTAGTCTTGAACGTCATCTTCTTCAGCTTGATTTGGCATCCGACATCGCTCATCGTCTTCGCAGGCTTGGTTTTCCTATGGATCTTCCTTTACTTCCTCCGTGACGAGCCTCTCAAAGTGTTCCGATTTCAGATCGACGATCGTGCGGTCCTGATTGGTTTATCGGTTATAACCATCGTTCTTCTCCTGTTGACCAACGCGACGTTTAATATTGTTGCGGCGTTGGTGGCCGGAGCTGTGTTGGTTCTGATCCATGCGGTGGTTAGGAAGACGGAGGATCTTTTCTTGGATGAAGAGGCAGCGACGACTGAAACGTCAGGACTGACGTCACACCCTTCGTCTTAAAACAATCGATCTCGAATTTTATGTATATTATATTGTTTTTGATAATCTTGTGTAATAATTTATAGTGTAAGTTTGGTTTTGATCAATTGATCCCTTTTTGAGTTTTGAAGTTTGAACAAGCTTAATAATGAATGTTAAAGTCTTCGCCTTTTTTTTGGCGGGCTGCTTACTTTTATAACTTTTTGTCGACTTCTCTAAGAAAAAAAATATCACAGTATGATTGGGCCATTCATTAAGGCCCAATAAACTCAGCCCATAAAATTCGAAAAGGAAAGTGTTTAAACAGTGCGTCACACTACCATTTACACGTCAGCTCTCTTCGCCGGCGTCTATTGCAACCGTCAACCTCGCCGCCGGCCAGAGAAAAAAATGGCGTATCACCAACCGTACGATCCTTTCTACGTCTATCAACCTCATTATCATCCACATCATCTTCCGCCGCAGCTGCCACAGTTCGCCGACGAACCTGGGGCGATAAACACTCTCTTTGTCTCTGGTTTGCCTAACGATGTTAAAGCTCGTGAGATCCACAATCTCTTCCGTCGCCGTTATGGATTCGAATCTTGTCAGCTCAAGTACACTGGACGCGGCGACCAGGTTGGTAATTTTCTCCAATTTCAGTTTTTTGATTCCCATTTTTAGAAAAGCTGTGTACTTTGTGATTCTATCGATGTTTAAGCTTTCTGAAATTACTCTCTCTTCAGGTTGTGGCATTTGCAACATTCACGAGTCATAGATTCGCTATGGCTGCAATGAATGAGCTAAATGTAAGATTCACTTTGATCGAATTGTGTGACTCTGTTGGTGATATTGTTACATTGATTATGGTGGAAACCTTTTTTTATAGGGTGTGAAATTTGATCCTCAGACAGGATCAACTCTACATATAGAACTAGCTAGATCAAACTCTAGAAGAAAAGAAAGGCCAGGTATTTTGGTGACTTTACTCTGCTCTTGTTATTGAGTTAGTGTGGTAGATAAATCTATATGAGAAATGTAATAATAAACAGTCTGTGTGGGCAGGAAGTGGGCCTTATGTTGTGATTGATAACAGAAACAAAGAACTGTCTAAGTCTCAGGATGACCAGAGTGATGAAGGTAATGTTCTGGTTCCCTTGTGAATTCTTAAATGTATGAATGCTTTATGTTTCTGCTTGATCTTTGATGCATCTAGGGGATAGCGATCCGGATGAGGTGCAGGAACCTCGAAATAGCGAGTCTCCAAAGGAAAATGATAATGCCAAAAGGTTGAAAGGGAATTTTGAAGCTTGGTTTTGTAGTTCTCTATGTCAAAAGGCAGAAGACTAAATGTATGCTGATTTCTTTGCAAATTTACAGCGAAGCGGATTCTGAGCCAGATAGTAAAGCACCATCTGCTAATGTAAGTACAAGCCAAATCTAATCTTTTAACCAGTTGATATATCTCTCTCTATCTCTTAAGTTCGTTGAAGAGTAAGAAAATTTTATTTGTTACTGTAAGTTGCTTCCAGATATACTTGTTTATGGTTCAGTAGCTTATTGATACATTTCTACAGGGGCACTTAGAGAAAGCATATGAAGGAGGTTCTGGTGCTCGAGCTTGTTCGACCTTGTTTATAGCTAATCTAGGGCCTAATTGTACAGAAGATGAACTTAGACAACTCCTATCTAGGTAACCTTGTGCAATAGCTTACACCTATAGCATTAGGATTTGCATGTTTCTCCAAAAAATCATTGGTTTCTCCCTTTCCGAAATTCGATTAATCTGATCCATTTGCTTACAGATATTCTGGTTTCAACATCTTAAAAATCCGAGCTAGAGGCGGAATGCCGGTTGCATTTGCTGATTTTGAGGTATAAGTTGTTATGAATTGTTTTGATTTTGTCTTTGCAGTCTATATACTTACTCTCACCAATTACAGGAAATCGAGCAAGCTACTGATGCCATGAATGAACTTCAAGGGAACCTCTTATCCTCTTCAGACCGAGGCGGCATGCATATAGAGTAAGAGTAGTTTTTCTTACATGTGTTCAAATAGGTTAAATTTCACATTTTGCCAGATCATTACACTCATGATTATTAAAGCTAACCCAACGTCACGCTCTGGTTCTTGTTTCTTCCAGATATGCAAGATCAAAGATGAGGAAACAGTAAGGATTAATGTACCACATGCCAATGGTATTCTCTTCTGAAAACGAAATATATAGAGATCATAAGCAAATGAAAGCTGTATTTCTTTATTTTAAATCTCCACTTACTATTTGTTGTCATGAAGATGGATCTTCTATGCTGACACTGACTTAAGAAATACGTGTTAATATTTTTATTCAAGACTCCAAGATATACTAGTAATAAGATCTCTAAAATCTTTATGTTGATATGAGCACGCAGAATGAAAGAGACAATCAGATATTGTCATGATCCGGTGAGTAAAATCCATGGAACCTCTGAACGTACTGCCCCACCAAAGTCCTCGCCATCTTTGGGCTTTTCTTGTGTGTTCAATTCAAGAAAATTGATAATTGGTGATGCTTATAAGTAGAAAAAATAGTGAGGACCAATGCATCACTGTATTGACAGGCAAAGTCAGGTTCATCTCTCTCTTTCTCTTTCATGCACCATTATTACAATTTTGAAGACTTCCAATGCCGATGTCGTAAGGAGAAGCCCTCTCAGTGTTTTGTTTTCACCTGTTCCTCTCTCTCGTCTGCAGAACAATTCTTTTGACTCTCCAAAACCAATAATTCAAATTCAAAAGAAGAGAATAAGCCTCGTTGTTTTGTTCTTTTGATAATTCCTTTACCAAAAACAATTTAAAATACCTTGATAACATATTTAGCAACTGTTTTTGCATCTTACCCCACTATACAAACAAAAAAAGCTGTGTTGCCAGCTTTGGACCACATTACTTAAAACAAAGGACTTTACTAAATACCCTATCAACTAAACTTATCATAAGCCAAACTTGTGTGATTAGTATTGCTTGTTATGGTTTAGTTCAAACCTCTGGCTTCTTTCCCTCTCCCTCAAAGCTAGTCTTGGCGTTTCAACAGACAGCCTTTCACTGAACCTATCCGACCCATCATTCGTTAGCTGACCGCTGTAATGATCCACCCAGAACCTCCCGCTTCTGTTGCCTGCCTCTGAACCTGGAGTTGATGCGTAGTTTCCATCCATTATCATATCTCCTTCCAGTATACGCAACACCTTCATTATTTACCAGAAGTTTTAGTATCATCAGAAACTTAAAACTGAATGATCCTGAGACTGAGACTGAAGAGTGATTTCAAGAAGAGCTTTTGGTTACCTGAGACATGCGTGGCCTCAAATGTGGATCTCTACGTATGCACAATGAAGCTGCATGAAGCATACAAATGACCTCACTTTCTACAAAATGGTTCCCAAGCCTCGGATCGATAAGTTCGTCTATCGCATATTCTTCCAGTAGAGGACGTGCCTGAGATCACAAGCCACAAAAGGAGAGTCAGTTCTGTTACTTAGCTGAAAAATCAAAATATGAATTCATTACCCATTCAGTGAGGCATTGCTGGCCTTTCGGCCTGGTGATATCAATGGCTTTGCGGCCAGTGACTAGCTCAACTAGAACAACCCCGAACGAGTAGACATCAGCTTTTTCTGTGATTTGCCCGCTTTGAGCATATTCTGGAGCTAGATAGCTGCACACCAACAAAGTAATTTCTTTTAGCAACAGACAAATTGTTGAATTTCAGGAGTAAAATGATAGCTTTAGCAGGTGTCTCACCCGAAGGTTCCTATCACTCGTGTATCTACACCCAGTTCCCCATCAGGCTGCCATCTTGCTAGACCAAAATCTCCAACCTGATGATATTATCAAAGTTGACTCAGGAGGAAAAAGTATCCGCTGTTACAATGAATGAGCAAGACCATATTTATACATACCAGTGGCTCATTATCATGAGTGATGAGGATGTTGTTAGGACGCATGTCTCGGTGGACAATACAGCCAACTCTGCACTCTTCGTGAAGATACCGAAGACCTCTTGCAGCTCCAACAGCAATCTTTTGCCGTGCTGGCCATTCCAGAGTTTCCTTTTGACGACCTGGAAAAGAGCTTGATATTGAGCAAAACATTTTTCACCACAAGAGCTCCAATGGAAGTTTAAGCAACATTTTTATTTTTTTGGGATAAAATGTGAATTACTATTACCAAGGAACATGTGAATTTTAAGCAACATTACCGTATAGATGTGAGTCAAGTGAACCATTGCATATGTATTCATAGACCAACAGCCGTCTGCTGTCTTCAATGCAGAAACCAATTAGCATAACGACGTTTCTGTGCTGAGCACAGCTGAGAACTTCCACTTCGGAGCAAAACTCTACATCTCCTTGAGAGCTGGCCAGTTTGTGTTGCTTTACTGCAACTACCTGGCCTTCCGGTAGCACACCCCGATGAACAGATCCATACCCACCCTCAGCCAAGAAGTTAGCCTGTGAAAACCCACCTGTTGCAAGCTCTAACTCAGCATATGAAAACAGCCTTGGGGGTTTCCCAAATACTGGCGCCTTGTGCTGGCAAATAGAACAGAGAGGAGGTGGACCAGGAGGAGCACTTCGAGAGAGTGATATTGCATCTCTTACGTTTCCACTAAACTCTAAATCAATCCTTCGACTAGACGAAAATCCAGTTTCAACATCAAGTTTAGAGAACTTCTCAAGCAAAGCCTTTGTAGTGGATATTTGAGCCATGTCATCGTTTTTCCATAGGCTTTCTTCAGCCTCCTGGGATGAGTGGCGATGGGTGCCAATGTATTCTGATATCCATGGCTGGAATCTCATACTCGTTGACGCTAATGATTGGTTTTCGCTCTCTGTTTCAGAGCCAGAATCATCAAGACCATCATTCTCCTTGATCACCAATGCTCCATCCTTCTTCATGTATCCGCTCATTCCCAATGTGAAAAAAGGTGAAGTTCCCAGGTCAGAGCTCGACACTGATGAAGTCCCGGCTTCTGTACTTGTGAATGGTGTCCCCAGCTCAGGGCTACTAGTAGGAGTGACAGGTAGTCCTCTATCAGAATCTAACGATCCTTTAGTGTTCTTCGTGTGTTTCTCAGATGCAGCTTCTGGTCCAGATAGTAAGGGAGACTCTTTTTCAGCATCTTTCCTAGGCGATCCAACCAAGTTTAACCGTAGAACTTTTGCCTGAGAACGCTTCATCACCACAATGTTACATTGCAGTTCATCCATACACCGTTTCTCTTCCTGCTTGAGGTGTCTGTAAAACAAACCACACAAGATCACAGTGTAAATTGGTGAAAGCAAATATAATTGTTCAACCCAATATCAAGAGATTTCAACCACAAAATGTTTACAAAACTAAAGGAAAAGGACGGGATATATATGAAAATAGAGATTCTTACTTGTCCATGACTACCCAGTTTGCTTGCGCTTTCTTCGACTCAGCAGCAACTGCTCCACAGGGTGATCCAGAAACAATCTTAATCTTGACATTTATCTTCAAAGCAATCACAAAGAACAACAAAATAGCATGAGAAACATGTGATACTTTCACAGGATCATCATAGCTAAACAAGGATACCTAGAGAGCCAACCTTATTCGGGTCATAAACATCATGAAGCTGGAGAATCATTTGGGAACAAGTGTCAGTGAGATCACTTTTAATCTCTGGTAGTGCTTCGGAATGTGATTTCCGATGACCACTTGCACAATCCCCAGCAAACATAGGGAAACTCCTAGTGAAACCCCAAAGTTTTCTTCCTACACATTCATCAGAAAGCAAAGGAGATAAGAATCAATCAACATACACAAGACCAGAACAGAACAAACATCAAAGATCAACGAAACAGCAGCAAGAAAAGTACCAGAGTTGTGAGAAGGGACAACAACAATAAGAGTAATGCAATCCCCAGGCTGAACAACATGAGTCAAAGCCCAAATCAAGGCTGTCTTTGGAATCTCCCTAGACGCTTTAACAGCCACAATAACCTTTTCAGCTCCATCAGAAGTTACAGGCTTTTCCTGTTTCCCTCGCTTCTGTAGTTGACTCATTTGAAGATACCAATACAAAAAATAAGAGAAATGCAAGAGATTTCTTGGACCCTCTTTTTGTTTTCTCTGTATAAAAATAGCACAATCCTCAGAGAAATTGTACTTTTGTTGGAGAGATAAAAAAGCTCACAAGATTGTGGAAGAAACCAGGATTTTAGCAATGCATTATTTGGGCTATGCCCCCACCAAGTTGAAAATCAAGACAAGAACCAAAGACTCTCTCCTTTGATTAGTCATTCCAGTAAGACCTTGCAGCAGATGAATACAAAACTCACAGACATGACAAGACCTCTTCTTTCCCTCTGATCCAATGAATCACATGAAACTTCAAGAACACAGAAGATCCTTATTTGATTCAAACCCAAGATCCCAAAATTCTCCCAAGAAAAACAAAAGATGCCTCGAATTTCCCCAGAATAGGAGGAGCTAATAAAAAGCAAAAGCGACCAAATAGATTCCTATCCTCTCAAAATCCAATCACTTTTTTGAATCTTCTTCCTTCCTTGTGTCAAATCACTTCTAAGTCAAAGCTATTACAGCCTCTTGATTTTGGATCTGACACCAACAAACAGACAAAAAACTGTCTGAGTTCTCTGCCTCAAGAGCAAGACCAAAAAGATCGCTCTAAAGCTCAAAATTCCACCTGCGAGAAACAAAATGAGTAAACGAAAGAAAGAAGACGGTGAAGAAAACTCGCAATGGGTGAAGATTAAAAACCTCAAAAAACGAATTTTTGACGAGAATAATAAGGAATTATCGCAGCGATTTCAACAATAAACCAATAAGAATGGCTGATAGATTTACATATATATATATATTTAATTATTTTCATCGCAAACTGCCAGAGAAAGAAGACTATAGTAATAATAATACAGAGAACCAAAAAAAAGATTCACCAGTTAAGCTCTCATGAAAGTCACCGCCGTGAAAACGATTAAACAAACTATAGGAGTGAGACCAGACGAAGAAGAAGAACACAAACAATTGACGGAAGAAAATGATATTACCAGAAGCATTGGTTTCGTCAACTTTAATTTTGTCTGTCTTCAAGCTTCTTCTCCTTTCACATCAATGCACGACTTCAGAGATAAATACAAGGAGAAGAAAGCCGCGAAAATGTGAAAACAGGCTTCTTCTTTTTTTTTTTAGGGTTTTTGGTTTTTCTGCTTTAGTCTAGTCTCTCTCTTTGCTTCTGTGTTGCTTTGTAGTAGCAACAAAATTACTATCTTCTGGTTATTGTTATTATCTATTGTGTCTTTTCCAATGTTACTCATTTTTTCATGATTTCATATAAAAAAAATATAATAGAATATGTATTGGGCTTTTTCAAATAAATAATCCTATAGTAACTTTGAATTATTTATACCCACCATCAAGTGTTTCCTATTACCTATATTTTAGTTTTGTCAGCTCCTGATTCTTTAGCAAAGCATGCATTTGGAGAATAAATTTTTAAGGATAAACAAATACTAATCTCAAGTTTAAAAATTATTATTTTTGACTTTTGGAGAGATTTAGTTTAGGCTTTGGGAAGCCAAACTATACCTTTATAGGTCCCATTTTTGAATATGGGACTACAATCTGAAAAGTGAAAACTCAAATTTTGTGAATGTACAGCTTGGATAGGCTTAGGGTCATAAATCAATCTCCTCAAAATTTTGTTTTTCTCTTCTAAAGCTTGTTTTTTTTTACTTGTACTTCTAAAATAAAACTGATTTATGTGATGTAAATGTCATGTTATTACTTAGGGTGATGTAATTATTTTTTTGTTTTCAATTTAGTGATTTGTCAACAAAATTGCTTAGCTCCAAATTGCTAATAACATGACATTTGAAATTGCTTAGTTCCAAATTACTTGAACTGAAAGATAACCAGTTTTGTTCTTTATACTTTTCTCCTTTAGGAGTAGTTGTTACTAGTATATAAGAACTCTTTAGTTTGAATTTTAAAATTTTGTAGCTTTATGACCATATTTTTAGTTTCTCATCAATACCCTCTCGATCACCAAGCTGACACACCATCTTTTGTTTCCTCGGGAAACGGTAAGCAACGTTGTAATCGTATATGACAAATTTGAATCAAACGCAGTCTCCATCTCTAAACGTGATTTTCTAACAAGTATATGTAGATTTTAAATACAATTTTCAAAGTTGACAAAAGAAAAGAAAAAAAACAAGTACGTATAGTCACAGCCGACACATCTGATCAAATTATGAAAGTTGCATTAAAATACTTGAAATGCATAGTTTTGTTCTTGTAATTTACAATAGTTTATTGCTTAAGAATCATTCAAAACTAGACGACGCAACATTACTTAATCTTAATAGAAAATCGAATTCTATTAAAAAGAACCCGTGATTGGCTTTCCATGAATTCAAACAAAGTAGAATAAATGGGATCGCATATAAGATATGGAAGGTAATTACAATTAGACTAATGTGTAAGAGACAAAAGAAGAGAGGAAATGGTCCAAAATGTGTAAGTATAGAACAGAGCACAATCACAGGTAGTAGTTCAGGTTCGGTGTCATCTAGTAAAACCTCCGTGGGTCCGATTCCATCCCCTAATCATTATCTTTCTAATTTCACTCTTTTTTTTTTATCATTATTACTACAAAAAAATTTAAAATCTTCAGATCATGTGGTCCTCTATGCAAATTTCCACGACGCATGATCCCACGATATCTCTTAAATCAAGTTTCACTATTTGTCTATTTTAGAATGTGGAACAATGTAATTATATATTCTATTTGTGATTCGTGAAGATAGTTCAATATGTTGGTTTAATTTGTTGTTTGAAACTGATTAATGTTGAAAGAGTTGAGATAATTAATCTAGTTACGGGTTAATTGTTGTAGGTCCCGAACGTCCTTTGACGTTAGCTCTGTCACCGTCACGGGACACATCTTCAACGGCGGCCAATGCTGTCACAGCTGCTATCAGTCTCCTCCTGTCACACACATTAACTATACACTTCTTCTTTTTTTTCCTGTCAACAAGACAACAACTATAGCCGTTATAGTGGGTCTAAATATAATAGTTAGTTGATCATCATGAATTAAGAATTCTCAAAAGTAATTAAGAAAAAAAAGTCTTCTAAAGCGACACCGTTTAGTGGCGTTTTTTTATTTTTTTTTGCTGGAGTACGGTGCCGGCATGAGCATGTATGATGTTCGCAAGAACAATTAACTTACTCAAATTTAATACTAATACTAAGTTGATTTATGTTTTTAGTAACCAAACTGACGTTAAGAAAAGAAGTAGTGAACAAACTATACTTTATTTATCGGCAAAGAAAGAAAACAATACAAACCATATCTCTAATCAATTCGTGGTGAATACTACTGAATACTTTATTTAAGAAATTAATGCATATTTTCTAGTTCTAGTTTGAATCAAATCTTCAGAGTTCAAAATATATATGCAAAAAGTATTTGAATTTTGATACGGGACAAAATATGTTAATTAGTCCACTTTTCAAAGCGGTCCATTGTCTCCTGTTGTCGAGTACTCGAGTCCTCGACCTTATTATTATTAGCAATATAGTCCTTCTAACTGATCCTACAATATATGTATTCTACATGAAAAAGTACAATTTCTTAGCAACTAAAACTGCCACGATAAATGGGTAGGAAAAAATCTACGTTTGGTTGGATAAATTTGATGCGAACGTTCTCGATTTCACAATAAAATAGCAAACACGATATCGTAACGCTGATAAGATTATACTACTAATTTGTTCTATATGTTGATTTAACGAAGTTTTAGAGAGTTCATACGTTGGTTTCTCTAACGAAATATTACATTCCAATAATATGAAACATGATTTAATTTAAAATAGATTGCATCGTGCGGGCCATTTTTTCATTAAGAAAAGTACATATATATGCACGTTTTTAAGGACGCTCTTTGGTCGTATTCGTTATTAAATTATGTGCATACTTTAACTAATCGGTCCTACATCAATTGTTTAGAGACAATGACCCTAATTTTAATCCCTTGTCTCGTAACCTACGTTTTAGATATTGCTAGCTAGTAGCAACCCATTAGTTGCATACTTGTATTTGGACACTGAACTAGGAACCATAATTTTCAAAGTTTATACGCATTTATTTTTGTCAAGCGCCACTAGAAACACTCAAGCAATCTAATTCTGTGTTTTCAAAGTTTTCATAATGATATGGATACAGTGAACTGTCCCTTGCCTCTTTAATACTGTGTTTTTTTTTTTCCGAGGTTGCGTATTAATTTAGGTAATGCGTTTATCAATTTCGAGGAAGAAATTGCATTAAATCCGCCCAGAACGGTAACATACATTTATTATCATTTTGAGTAAAACTAAATAAATAGTACTTCCGTGATTAAATTTCCCGGTCGCTATAAAATGGAGAAATGGAAATCAACAACAATCTTGTAATTAGACAAGAAAATTTGAAAACAACAATTGTTGCATATAACAAGAAAATTTGAACACACGTAACGTGGCCATATGTATTGATTAATAATCATGCAAAACCACTGCAAAAACAATGAATAATAGGGTCCACTACATGCCATTTTCGAGCTTCTCCTTATTGCGCGCAATACGTTTTTATTAGCATGAAAAAGATACTTGTATTTTATCCAACCATCATTACAATTATACTTTCAACTTCCGCACATCAATAATTACACCTTTATACAGGTACCTGCACATATTTGTCCAATCATCATATACGAATCTATGTGTGCATATGCTCATGAAACACACACACACACGTTATTAGAAATCTTGTGTTAATCAAACCACGCTCATTTAGTTTCAAACATAAACATAAGATGGATAAGGTTTAAGATCTTTTATGTTTTGAGTGATCCCAGAAATTGGATCACAAAAATAAGTACATGACATGTGAATGGAGGGAGAGATGTGGAAAGGCCATGTGTGAGATATTATATGCATTGGGGCTAAAATGTCAAATTTTATTCATCATAATGTGATGAAGAGAAGAGACAATGACCCTACAATATTAAATTGCATGTTCTCTTTATCTTCAACATTACCATACATCATATCATGTATGGGCCGCTTTGGTTATGCCAACAATGACATGTAACTATCTTCTTCACTCTTATCATCTTATATATCATCCACAATTGTCGTAGACTAAATTAATATCACCTTACAGGCCCAATGGGCTTAAATATTTTTAATTCATTTAGGCCCATAACCTTTATTTTTTCTGCAAACCACGCAGACGCAGATTCGAAAATCGTAACCGAAGATCGGAAAAATAAGCTCAAGAATCCGGGAGATTTACCAAGGGATTTCTCCGATCAATTTGGCGACGACGATTTTTTAGGGTATAAATCTCCATAATCTTCGGAGGTGATGAAGTAACTGAAGTTGATTAGTGTTAAACGAAATGACGATGGGATTAGGGTTAATGTGTTTCTAGGTAAAACGACGCGGAGGTGATTTGGTGACTAAATTGACCGGAAATGGATGCTCCGGCGTTAGATCGAACGGCTCCGAGGAGGAACAGGAGGAAAGTAAGTAGGAAGAACTACGACGAGAATGCGATGGATGATTTGATTGAGAAGCAATTTGGTGGAAATTCGAAGAAAAAGTACAGGACGAAGCAAGATTTGGAGAAAGAAACTGAGACTGAGGCTCTGATAGCTTTGTCCGTAGGTTTCCCAATCGACGAATTGCTTGAAGAAGAGATTCGAGCTGGAGTTGTAAGAGAATTGGGCGGGAAAGAGCAGAACGATTACATTGTTGTTCGGAATCATATAGTAGCTAGGTGGAGGAGTAATGTTGGGATTTGGCTACTTAAAGATCAGATTAGAGAAACTGTGAGTAGTGACTTTGAGCATTTGATTTCAGCTGCTTATGATTTTCTCTTGTTTAATGGATACATCAATTTTGGGGTTTCTCCATTGTTTGCTCCTTATATTCCTGAAGAGGGTACGGAGGGATCAGTCATTGTTGTTGGTGCTGGACTTGCTGGTCTGGCTGCTGCAAGACAGCTTTTGTCATTTGGGTTTAAGGTTCTTGTTTTAGAAGGTAGGAGTCGTCCTGGTGGACGAGTGTACACTCAGAAGATGGGAGATAAGGATAGATTTGCAGCTGTTGAACTCGGTGGCAGTGTAATCACGGGTTTACATGCGAACCCACTTGGAGTTCTTGCAAGACAGCTTTCTATTCCTCTTCACAAGGTTAGAGACAACTGTCCTTTGTATAATTCAGAGGGAGCACTTGTCGATAAAGTAGCTGACTCCAATGTTGAGTTTGGTTTCAACAAACTGCTTGACAAGGTCACCGAAGTGAGGGAGATGATGGAAGGGGCAGCTAAGAAGATTTCTTTGGGTGAAGTCTTGGAGACTCTTAGGGTACTGTATGGTGTAGCTAAAGATTCAGAGGAAAGAAAACTTTTTGACTGGCACCTTGCTAACTTGGAATATGCTAACGCTGGGTGTCTTTCGAATCTTTCCAGCTGCTTACTGGGATCAGGATGATCCTTACGAAATGGGTGGGGATCATTGTTTTCTTGCTGGTGGAAACTGGAGACTGATAAATGCATTAGCTGAAGGGGTACCCATAATCTATGGGAAAAGCGTTGACACTATCAAGTATGGAGACGGAGGAGTTGAAGTCATTTCTGGTAGCCAGATATTTCAAGCTGACATGATTCTTTGCACCGTGCCGCTCGGGGTCTTGAAGAAGAGATCTATCAAGTTTGAGCCAGAGTTACCTAGAAGAAAACAAGCAGCAATTGACAGGTTGGGGTTTGGCCTTCTGAACAAAGTTGCCATGCTTTTCCCGTCTGTCTTTTGGGGTGACGAGTTAGACACGTTTGGATGCCTCAACGAGAGTAGCATCAACCGAGGAGAGTTCTTTCTGTTCTATGCCTACCATACAGTCTCTGGTGGCCCTGCCTTGGTTGCCTTAGTTGCTGGGGAAGCTGCTCAACGATTTGAGTGCACAGAACCATCTGTTTTACTTCACCGTGTTTTGAAAAAACTCAGAGGTAATATTTGATATTGTCATCAACCTTTTGCTACTCCCAAGTTCTGGCTATAACAATGTTTTTGACATATTTGCAGGCATATATGGTCCTAAAGGTGTTGTTGTGCCTGACCCAATACAGACGGTTTGCACTAGATGGGGAAGTGATCCTTTGTCATATGGGTCATATTCTCATGTAAGGGTTGGTTCATCTGGCGTGGACTACGACATTCTTGCTGAAAGTGTTAGTAACCGTCTGTTCTTTGCTGGTGAGGCCACGACAAGGCAACATCCAGCCACAATGCACGGTGCCTACTTAAGCGGTTTAAGAGAAGCCTCGCAGATTCTACATGTTGCGAATTATTTTCGCTCTAATCCAAAGAAACCTGTTCAAAGATACAGTGGAGTTAACATGAATGTTCTTGAAGATCTGTTCAAAAGACCCGACATTGCAACTGGGAAGTTGTCATTTGTCTTCAACCCATTAACCGAGGATCTGAAATCGTTTGGATTAGTCAGAGTTTGTTTTGACAACTTTGAAGACGATCCAACGAATCGTCTTCAGCTTTACAGTATTCTTTCCAGGGAGCAAGCTAACAAGATCCAAGAATTGGACGAAAGTAGTAATGAGAGCAAACTGTCGTGTCTGATGAATACTCTTGGATTAAAGCTAATGGGGGCCAACTCAGTACTAGACACAGGTGGTGCGTTGATCAGTGTCATAGCTAACGCACGCAGAGGCAGAAGCAGGACCCATGTTGTTGCAGGGCAATGCATTATCCCTTAAACCAGCTGCATTTTAATTGACCAATCGGCCCCAAAAGGTTTCTTGTTATTGTTTTTGGAGTATTCGGTGACTCATTTTTGCAGAGAAATCTGAACATGTCAAGAGAGAAGTTCAGATTCTCCACTAACCATCACATAGATTCTTCTCTTTTCCAATTTTTTTGTTGTCATTTTTGGGGGCATTACTTTTATGTTTCTCAAACTGTGCAATTTTATACAAACAATGAAATAGAGAATCAATGTTTTCTGTCTATGGATGATGATGTTAAGAGCGTACATATATATAGCTAACACTAGAACAGAAATCTGAAATCCATGAAAAATCTACAACAAGCTTTGCCTACTCTTATGGAACTGAAAACAACCTCCGAATATGTACACTTCCTCTGGATTATGCTGCAATTAGTGAATCAGATGTAAACCAACTCTAACCAGCAACAACCGAAACCAACCAAGCTCCAGTAGTTTGGACTTTGGGCTCTTAGGATAAAAATGGAAGCTTCGGGACCAAGTAGAGAGTGTCTCACGGAACTTTAGGTTTTGTTAATACTAGATGGAATCAGAGAGCATCATCCATCATCATCCACATAAAAAAAAACAGTTTTTAAGAGCGTCCAAACCTAATTTTGCTGAAGCTTGAAAGAATGACGACAATGGGGGATCTTCCAGGCGATTTGGTAGAGGAGATACTCTCAAGGGTTCCGCTGACATCTCTGAGGGCTATACGATCCACTTGCAAAAAGTGGAACTCTTTATCGAAAAATCAGATTTGTGGTAAAAAAGCAACAGCAGCAAGGAAGCAGTTTATGGGGTTTATGATGAAGGATTCAAGGCTTTGTTCAATTGAATTCGATCTCCAAGGAATCCGAAACGACGACGGCAACTTCGTTGATCCATCTATAAAGCAAGTAAATAAACTCGATCAATTCGAGGTCTCTCAAGTTTTTCACTGTGACGGGTTAGTCCTATGCATCATTAAGGACAAGACAGGGCTCTTGGTATGGAACCCTTATTTGGGGCAAACTAGGTCGATCCAACCGAGAAACAATTTCCAGATGGAAGACAGGTATGCTCTTGGATATGATAACAACCGTAACTACAAAATTTTGAGGATTTTCGATTTGTATCCAAGCAGAAACCGCGTTTTTGGGTACGAAGTCTACGATTTTAGCTCTAATTCATGGAAGCTTCTTGATGTCAATCCCGGGTGGGATATACAGTCTCATCATCGTGGCGTGTCTTTGAAAGGGAATACTTATTTTCCTGCGCAAAAGAAAAAAACAGAGGGAGGAATAAAGACAACTAATATTGAAGATGTTCTACTTTGTTTTGATTTTACAAGCGAGAGATTTGGACCGCCTCTGCCACTGCCGTTTCACTCTTACAATGCAGAAATTTTTGTCTCTCTATCTTGTGTTAGGGAAGAGCAGCTCGCTATGTTATATCAACGCTGGGAGGCATGTGAGACAATCGAGATTTGTGTTACAAATAAGATTGATCCCAATACGGTTTCATGGAGCAAGTTTTTGATTACGTTCACTGGCTTTCCGGTTGACACTTTTTCTGGGAGCTTTTTCATTGATGAGGAGAAGAAAGTTGCTGTGGTTTTTGATCTAGATAGATATAAACCGACCGAGACCTGTCGCTACCAAATAGCTCATATTATTGGACAAGATGAATACTTCAAATCTGTGAATATCGGAGTTGCGCCAAATCTCGCGATATCGTACAAAGTTGGATTTACTCCGACGGCATACTGTGTTCCACTTGTGTGCTCTTCATCCTATGTTCCAAGCTTAGTTCAACTACAAATCAACAAACCAGGCAAAAGGAAAGAAAGTAGTTAGTTCCATTTACAGTACTTTTTATTGTTTCTTGCATCATCTTCTTTTGTTTCATTCCATTGACTTTCATGTTCTTTTGAACAAATCATTAACTTGTGTTTTGCTATTTGTCATCTAATAAGAAGTCGGGTTCTGCATGTTTTAGCCTATTCTCTCAATTGGTCATGTCACTTGTGAATTGTGATACAATCAGCGCGGCCTTTTAACTAAAATCATACTAGTTGTTTAGATGTGATTAATGTAGGAGTCCATATGGACGTAGATAGATGAGTTAAGAGAATCATTTACTGCCTCTGTTTATAGAACAATCGCTTGAGGTATCAGAAATGTTTCATTTGTTTGTTGCTTTGTTTGGTGGTCTGATGCATTTTGTTCTGTGTTTCGGTTTCTTGAACTCTTGAATGAGATCAGGCATAAATTTTGAGTCTTCCCTCAGCTTTATCCTTGAACAACCTTTCAATAACTGGACTTTTTTTAACATCTTGCATTTATCCGTTTGGAGTACACAAATGCAACCATTCACGAACCTTCTCCCACATTCGCTCTTTCGTTTGCCAAACGATCAATATATGCGCCAAGGACAATTTCCACCCATGCCACGCTTAAAGCTTAGCTTGGTTTGCTCCCATCTCTCTCGCACTTCAAAGGCTAGCTTCTTTGAATGCAAACCAATATACAACTCCATTCCTAACGATAAAGGGGCAACTCCCTTCTTCTCTGAATTTGTGCGACTTTTGGGTTTTCATCATCCGAACTGTCACGATCGGGAAATATGTTACGGCTTAAAGGGAACTCATCCCACAATCTGTGATATATTATTCTCAACTTCAAACTCAAACCGTTTCATTGCATCCGCATCCAATTGATCAATACACATACGACATTTTTTGAACACAAAAAGTTTATCGGTTGCAATGTTTTCTACATAATATCAAAGCATATCAGAATCAAAACACAAACAATGTAAAACACAACGGAAACACAACGACGCTAAGAGATTTTAAACATTTTTGTGGCAAACGTTAACAGAAAAACAAGACAAACATTTGTACACGAGGATGGAATTTTACAAGGCATCAGGTCTCCTTTTAGCGGATGATACGATACGATGTTCTATGAGAAAGCTTCAGGCCAATGTATAAAACCAACAGAAGTCTGCAATCGCATTCTCAACCAAGGCACCATTGGAACTCCGCAACAGAGTCAAGCAGTGTAGGGTGTTTCCAAACGAAAATCGGTACCCCAACAACCGGTTTTGGTTAAGTTAAGATAACCGGTGTGAAAAGGAAACGATAACCGGTGTGGCATTTTGGGCTATATTAGGCTTTTACAAATATATCCTATACGGGCCCATATTCACACTCGTTGTAGCACCGTCACAAGAAACAAAACCTCCTAAAATCTGTTACGATTTAATTTTCTCAAAACTCGCTTATTAATATTTCTGCAACACGATCCCGCCAACGAAACTCTTTTACTCTCACCTTGACGAAAAATTCCAAATCCCAAATCCCAAATCTTCGTCGTCCTCTCTCGCTTCTCTCGATTAGGTTTGATTTCTTGCTCTCTTTGCAGTTTATCGTTTCTCAAATCCAGACAGATTCTTCGATTTCTTCCTTCCGAACAGATTCTATGTTTCCCTCTCCTTATTTGTAAACAGATTCTTCATTTTCTTGATTTCGTATCGGAATTTAGATGTCGATTTCATATATACGGGGGTTTCTTCTAGAATTTGTGCTTGTTTCATTCGATTTCTGTAAAATCTCTCAAGAATCTTGGCAGAGGAGAACACAGCAACTGAGGTTTTCTTATGATCTTCATGAATCGCTCACCCAAAGCCCTAATTTTCCAATTCTTGGTGCGATCTTCCTAGACCTATTATCTTCATTCAGCAGTAAGATTGGAAGATTGAAGCGTCATCTCTTACGAAACCATGGTTTTGTGTAATCACTGTGGAAGCAACGTTCCCATGGCATTGTAAGTGTTTTCAGTTTCTTCTGTTGGACTTGTGATTTATATAAATCCTGAATTTGTTTTCACATATGTGCTTTTGCAGCAAATGTACCGTGTGTAAGATGAAATTGGAGAATTTCAATACTTCTACTGAAGTCAGATTCGTCAATGATGCGGCAGGCCAGGTACTTTTCTTGAAGCTCCTCTGGTTTAGAGCTAGAAATGGTTCAGTTATTCTTGGGATTAGAGTGATTTTAGTTGATAATCTTTAAAATATAGTCAAAAATTCCATTCTTAGAAGTTTTGTAGCGGTTGTTTGAGACTTCTTCTTGTAGTTTCAAACAAATACACATTTGGATTGTAGAATACCTCTTCAGTGATATCTAGAGAGCTTGTTGAGAGAGATGCCTCCTTATCCTCTTGTCTTTTCATCCATTTGATGCCTTCGGGTTTCCTTAAAATTGGTTCAAGCGTACTCATTAATTTTGTGCCTGTAGAACCAAGCGTCAGGACACATAGTGAAGAGTGTTCAGGGCGGGATTTCAAGCTCATTTGAAAGGAAAACTGAAACAGGTATATGCCTTTTTCTGTCTACAGCTTTCATTTGGCTTTCAATTTCCGGTTATGTATCTGTTGTTATACTTTAATTTTCCGGTTGTGTACCTGTTGTTATGCTTATGCGTCAGGAAACATAGTGAGGAGTGCTCAGGGTGGGCTTTCAAGCTCATCTGAAAGGAGCACTAAAACAGGTATATGCCTTTTGCTGTCTACAACTTTCACTTGGCTTTCAATTTCCGGTTATGTTACTGTTGTTGTTATGCTTATAAATGCTGTTTCCCCCTGAAGCCATTTATATATCTTGTACTATTTTCCAGGGGTGGAAGACCAATCTAAGGAGATTGTTATGGACAAACTGAGTAACTATTCTCATTTCGTTCCCTGGCTAAATGTTCTTTACCCTTATGGACTGACTATTGTTGTAGAGTGATTGATCAGGTTTCCTGTTGCTCATAAACGATTGTATTTCTATAGGTGAACTTCGTATTGATGTGCCTCAGTCTTCCAACACTTCTTTTATAAAGCATTGTATAAAGTGTGGTTTGCGTGTGGAGGTATGTATTGACTATTTGGTTATTCATGCCACCGTAATATGATGACATTGTTTGTGCACTATTCAGAAATGCCCGTGCGAGTCTGTCCAAGACTTTTATGTTGTCCCAACGCATAAGTATGGGCATGAATCATTTCGGCTGCTCAGGTTAGCTCTTCAACATTTCACCAATGAAATCTCCTTGGCTCTCCATTTTTACGACTCTGGAATATCTAATGTGCAGGCTTCCAGTTACAAGGATGGGAAAGGTCTTAGGAATCGTTGGGGCAAACTCTATCGGTAAAACAACCTCTGTGAAGATTCTTGCTGGAGAACTCAAACCAAACCTTGGCAACGTTAAGGTAAAGAGCCTCTCAAGTTTCTGTGTTCTGTTTGCATAAAATGCTGTGACTCTGTAACTGATCAATAATTCTTTTTCCTTCTGGGCAGAATCCTCCTGAGTGGGAGGAAATTATACCCCACTTCCATGATTCAGAACTTGAAAGCTATTTCACCCGAAGGCAAAAAAAGACTCTAAAGGTAGAGTACTGGAATCGATCTTGGTACTTTCCTAAGGAAGTTAGTTTCTTTACGCAAGTCACGATGCCCCTGGTCTTATAGGTCCTTGTGAAGCCGGCTCTGAAAGAGACGAAGGTAGCTGATTGGAAATGTAAGAACTTTTGGGCCAACTGGGTGCTTTATGAGGTCCAGGATAGAGGTCGTGAGGTATTGGACAAGATCTGTAATGATCTGGAGTTGCACAACCTGGAGCGTTGTGTAGAAGAGTTATCTGCTGATGAGCTGCAAAGATTCCGGATTGCTCTAGTTGCCGTGCGGAAAGCGGATGTTTACATCTTTGATAACCCATCTACTTTCCTTGATGTGAGGCAAAGACACAAAGCTGCCCAAGTTATACGTTCCCTCCTAAGACCTGACTGGTTTGATTTCTTCTCTTCTCTATTTCTTCATGTTGAATATCTGTTCCGTCAGTCTTGGATTCTTACACGATGCTTTTGTTGCTGTAGCTACGTTATTGTAGTGGAGAATGACCTTAGCGTCGTTGACTTTGTGGCGGATGAGATTTGTCTTCTGTATGGGAAACCAGGAAAATATGGTGTCGCCACACTTCCTTTCTCTGTCAAAGAGGGAATCAACGTTTTCCTGTCGGGATATCTCCCGAGAGAACAATTTCGATTCAGGGATGACTCCCTCTCTTTCGAGGTTTCCAACAACATAACTCCGCAAGATGAGTATATGAAGGTATATGGAAGATACCAGTACTCAGACATTAGTAGAACAGGTGGACTAAATCTGAACATAGTGGGAGGAGAGTTCGATAACTCTCAAATAGTTGTTGTTGTTGGTCCAAGGTATACTGGGAAATCACTCTTTCTTGAGTTCCTGGAACGTATGCATCCACGTGTGTCATACAAACGGGAACATATTGGTTATGCTGGTTGCGAGTTGGCGACAGTCAGAAGACATCTAAATTGCTTGATTCCTGGTACCATTAGAGATTGTAGGTTCAGAGTTGATGTGATGGAACCGCTGGGGATTGTTCAGTTGTTCGAACAATCCGTCTCCACACTCTCTGCTTCTGCGTTGCAGAAGCTTGCAATAACAATCTGCTTGGGAATGGTAAATTTTTGCAGTCTTTTGTCCATTTTTGCATAAACTCATATGATACTTAAAATTGCTCTTCCTACACAGCACGCAGACTATTACTTAATTGATGAGCCGGGTAGGCATCTGGACATAGAGCAGAAAATCTGTGTTTCAAAGGTTATAAAGCGCTACACTCGGTACATACAGAAACCGGCAGTAGTTGTTGAGCATGACTTGATGATGCTGTACTATTTGGCGGACCGAGTGGTTTTATTTGAAGGGAAGCCACATGTTACTGGAATTGGCCATGCTCCACAATCACTTGTTAGTGGAATGAACCAGTTACTACAGGTATCAAAAATCATTTTTATCTTCACATGCAACATTATCTGATATTTTCTTCTCAACTTAACTGATATCTTTTCACTTGCAGGAACTGAATATTACCGTGAGGCGGGATCCGGCAAATATGGTTCCTCGAATAAACAAGGTAGGATCTTTAGAAGATGAAGAGCAAAAGTCTGCCGGAAAGTATTTTTCTGAAGACTGATAGAGGAAAGTATTTTTCTGAAGACTGATAGAGCAAAAGTCTGCGGGAAAGTAAATGATAAACTGCAAAACATTACTTAGAAACCCGAACACATTTTTTCCTTTGGGTTCTTCTGTTTTCTAGAATAAAAGTACAGAACAACCAACATGGCGTTGATTCATACCCACGTAACGGTACATTTTTTTTTTTTTTTTCACCCACGTAACGGTACATTGTTTCCTTTGAAATATATGTTTGTTTAGTATTGTAAGATACATATTTCGTTATAGCATCAATGCATCAATCCGTTATATCTATTTTTTTCCCCGTAAAAATATGCGAAAATATATGTTTCTTCGTACAAAACTAATCAATCACGCATTCATTGGTAGTTAATTCGACATGCGTGATAAGAATCCCACGCTGATCCACGCTGATCGACATGCGTGATAAGAAATAAATATATATTTTTTTGAAAAAAGAAAGAAATAATATTAGGACAAAAGTAACGAATATATGAAACAAATAAACATACATAAGGATAAGGTGACAATCATTTTTTATTTTTACCTTTACTCTTTTGTATATGTTAGTATTATTGTTATATTGCTATGTATACAAAATGAATTTTTAATGAAAAAAATATCAAACTAAAAAAAACACACACTCAAGAGGTAATAGACTAATAGTAGTCAAAACAAAGAATTCTTTCGTATTTTAGTTTTTTTTTTTTCAATTATTTACCATGAGCCTAAACATTTTATGAGAACAAATGTTTCATTAGCGTATGTATAATAGATTGGAACATATGATTTTACGTGTCTCAAACATTAATGTTTACAGTTTCTGAGAAGATAAATTTCGTAAACCATCTACAAAATGCTAAGCCATATATAAGGCAAAAGCAAAGACACATAAATGCTCAAGCCGCTAACTATGATGGCATATACTCCCTCTGTCCCAATATATATGATGTTTTAGGCCTTTTTATTTGTTCCACTATATAAGATTTTCTCTACTTTCAATGCATGATTTATATTAGTTTAATAGTTTTTAATTATTTTAATTATGCAGTATCTTCTTCTATTGGTTGAATTTTCATAAATGAGAATATATTTATTGTTTCTTAATATTTGTGCTTTTAGTTCAAACATCTAATAAAATTGGACAGAGGGAGTATGTTCTAAAGCTCAAACTAAGTCACCGAAGATGAACGATTCATACCTTCTCCTAGGATAGCATTATAAATCAATTATGGACAATTATGAGGTTGGGTCCTCGAACATTTAATTATCTTCACTTATTAGAGTGTATATAGTTGGTTTAGTTATGGTTTAGATTGGTTAGAAAATTTAATCACTTATTGCCCCTACCATATGAAATTATTAATTTATCGTTAATTTTGCTTCTCTTTTTAACCTTTTGAATATTCAAACGAAGCAAAGAGAGCTTACATGCACTCTCACTTAACTGAAACTCTATCTTACAACTTCAAGTAACATTGATTGAAGTTATGTCTTAGTCTGGATCACAAATTAGATGACATGTGAACGGAGAGAGATGTTGAAAGGCTATGTGAGATAGTATTATATCCAAATTTACCTTTGAATGCTGATGGATGCATGTATCTTCGACATTAGCATACATCACTTCGTGTTTGGGCCGCTTTGGTTATGTCAACGATGACATGTAATAGACTAAATTATGTCACCTTACAGGCCCAATGGGCTTAAATAGTTTCTATCCATTTAGGCCCATAACATTTATTTTTTCTGCAACCACGCAGACGCAGATTCGAAAATCATAACTGTAGATCGGGAAAGTAAGCTCAAGAGTCCGGAAGATTTACCGACGGATTTCTCCGATCAATTTGGCGACGATGATTTTTTTGGTATAAATCTCCATAATCTAAAGTAACTGGAGGCAGGTGGGTCTCGATTATTGAAGTAGGGAGAAACCTTTTTTTAAAACCGTAGAGAGTAATCAAAAAGCCTTTTTTTTTTAAGAGCGTCCAAACCTAATTGGTATTTGCTTAAGCTTGAGAGAATGACGACAATAGCCGATCTTCCAGGCGATTTGGTAGAGGAGATACTCTCTAGAGTTCCACTGACATCTTTGAGAGCAACACGATCTACTTGCAAAAAGTGGAACGCTTTATCCAAAAATCAGATTTTTGGTAGAAAAGCAACAGCAGCAAGGAAGCAGTTTATGGGGTTTATGATGAAGGATTCAAGGCTTTGTTCAATTGAATTCGATCTCCAAGGAATCCGAAATGAAGACGGCAACTTCGTTGATCCATCTATAAAGCAAGTAAGTATACTTAACCAAGTCGAGGTATCTAATGTCTTTCACTGCGACGGTTTATTGCTATGCGTCCTTGAGGACAATTCGAGGCTCTTGGTATGGAATCCGTATTTGGGGCAAACCAGGTGGATCCAACCCAGAAACACTTTCATGAGGCATGACAGGTATGACAAGAACCGTAACCACAAAATCTTGAGGATTTTCTATGTGATCGACCGCGTTTCTGGTTTCGAAATCTACGATTTTAGCTCTAATTCATGGAAGGTTCTTCATGTCACTCCTGACTGGGAAATAATGCCTCCTCGGCGTGGTGTGTCTTTGAAGGGAAATACTTACTTTCCTGCTCAAAAGAGAACAATAGTGGGTGTAGGAACAAGAAGGATAATAAAGAGTGAAGATTTTTTAGTCTGCTTTGATTTTACAAGAGAGAGATTTGGACCGCTTCTCCCTCTGCCGTTTCACTCTTACAATCTTAGACTTTTTGTGTCTCTATCTTGTGTTAGAGACGAGCAGCTCGCTGTGTTATATCAACGCTTGGACACATATGATGGGACAGTCGAGTTTTGTGTTACAGATAAGATTGATCCCAATGCTGTGTCTTGGAGCATGTTTTTGAAACAAGTCATTGGTTTTACGGTTAAACCTTGTGCTGGGAGTTTTTTCATCGACCAAGAGAAGAAAGTCGCCGTGGTTTTCGATATAGATGTATATAAAAAGGTCAAGGAATGTCGCTATCAAACAGCTCACATCATTGGACAAGATGGATACTTGAAAGCTGTGAATATCGGACAAGCTCGGGATCTCGGGAGAACAACTGGCGTTCCTTCATCTGTTGTCAAGGGATTTTGTTTCCCACTTGTGTGCTCTTCTTATGTTCCAAGCTTAGTGCAATTGCAAATCAACCAACCTCAGGGCATAAGGAACGAAAGCTATGATTAATTTACTTTCCATTTTACAATATACTTTATATTGTTTCTTTCATCATCTTCTTTTGAACAGCTACTAATTTGTGTTTTGCTATTTAGTATTTATCATGTAATAAAGAATTTGGCTTTTGAATGTTTTAGCCTCTTTGTCACTCGTGTACTAGCTGTTAGATGTAACTAGTGTCTTTTGTTTGTGGAAGAAGTGTCATCATGATTTGGTTGGTAAGACTAATTATCTTCACTCCAAAATTGTTTTTTGGTCTTCCTTTTACAGAGAAGAACAAGAACTCATGATCTAGTTAAGTAAAAATGTAATACTCACTAGTCCAACATGTTATTGTGACAGGAAATTTGCAGCTAACAAGCAAGTTACTGGGCCAAACTAATTGCAGAAAATGCGAGAACAATTATTTGGGCTTACATGTGGTCTATTGTCATCAAGTTACTGGGCCCAAACTAATTCAGAAAATCTCGAGAGGAATGATTTGTGCTTACATGTGGACTATTATTATCATCAAGATACTGGGCCCAAACACAAAGTAAAATCTTAATATATTTACAGAAGCATCCTCGTATTTGTATTATATCTATAATTGCCGCCCCATAAAACTTTTAGTTATCAACCTCAATCAAGCTTGATTAATGGAAAGAGGAACCGTCAAACCTAATTTCTATTTTCAGCCTGAAAAGCTTTGATTGAGAAAAATGACGACGACGACGACAATGGCTAATCTTCCAGTAGTTTTGGTAGAGGAGATACTCTCTAGGGTTCCGGTGACATCTCTCAGAGCAATACGATTAACTTGCACAACCTGGAACCGTTTATCGAAAAATCAGATCATCGGTAAAAAAGCAGCAACAAGGAATCAGTTTCTGGGTTTCATGTTGATAGATTTCACGATTTGTTCAATGAGATTCGATCTCCGAGGAATCAGCAACAACGACGACGAAGACGATGATGATTTCATTGATCAATCTGTCAAGGAAGTGAGTGAACTTTACGAATTCTCGATATCTCAAATCTTTCACTGCGACGGCTTGTTGCTTTGCGTCTTCAATGACACCAGCAGCAAGACGCTCATGGTGTGTAACATGTACTTGGGGCAAACTAGGAGGGTTAAAGCCCGTCAATTGTTCGACAGATTCTCTAAATCAGGTGTTTATGCTTTTGGATACGATGATAGCGAAGAAAACCGTAACCACAAAATCTTGAGAAACGAAACTAATGGTGGTGGTTATGAGATCTACGATTTTAGATCCGATTCATGGAGGCTTCTTGATGTCGTTCCCGACGGAGATACAAATTTTGGTGAAAAACTAAGCTTGTCTTTGAAGGGAAATGCTTACTTTTTTGTTACAGAGGAATATGATGAGACACTTGTAGTTGAGGGAGAAACACTGTATTCAAGGGAGAGTCGACTTATGTTACTCTGTTTTGATTTCACTAGTGAGACATTTGGACAGCTTCTGACTCTGCCGTTTCACTCTCTTGGTGATCTAGTTGTTGATAGTAGTGTGGAGAGTTGGGCTCTATCTTGTGTTAGAGATGAGAAGCTCGCTGTGTTGTTTCAACACTATAAGACTATCAAGATTTGGACTACGACTGAGATCGAGCCCAATGCGGTGTCCTGGGATGAGTTTTTGGAAGTGGACTTGACGATGTTTGGTGGTGTTCCGGATGATTTTAGAGCTGGGAGCTTCTTTCTTGACGAGGAGAAGGAAGTCGCTGTAGTTTTCGATCAAGAGACCAAGATGGATCGCAACCAAACAGCTTACGTCATTGGAAAGGATGGATACTTCAAATCTGTGAATTTCGGAGATGATCCGCCAAGTTACCGTCTCCCACTTGTGTGCTCTTCTTACATTCCAAGCTTAGTGCAACTCAACAAGCAGGCCGAAAGGAAAATCAACAAGCAGGGCAAAAGGAAAGAAAGAGATTATTAGTTGCATCATCTTCTTTTGTTTCATTCCATTGTCTTTCATCTTCTTTTGAACAAATTAGTAACTTGTGTGTTGCTATTAATCATCTAGCTAGTAAAGAACTCAGGTTTTGTATATTTCAGCCTCTTTTCAAGTTCATGTCACTTGTTATATGTTCATACTAGTTTTGCTAAATGTGATTAATGTAGGAGTTCATGTGGAAGTAGAGAGATGAGTTAAGAATCATTTAGTCTCTTTGTTTGTAGAAGAAGCTTAATGATCTATTAACCCTTCTTGGAGTCGAAACCACAAGAAAGGATTCATTCTTTCTTTTTTTTTTTTTTTTCGGATGATGTTAGATTTATCACTATAGCCAAATTTCCAAAATCATAAACTTGATGATAATAAAAAGCCGCATACATCTAGCTTCCGATTAGTCCAAAATAAGGTAATCCATATGAGTAACTTCAAAATTTTGCTCTAATTAATTAGAAAGAATGTATGTGTACTCAGATAAGCTTTTCCTCTTTGGATTAAATAGGAAGGGGAGAAGCAGGCAAAGTATGCAAGTCCTTCTCAAGGGGAAATTATACAAAAAGAGCCCAAGGGAAAACATTACATAAAGATTGGCAAGGAACAACGCCACTCCGTTATAGTCGTTGCAGTATAAAGCTTCAAAGATGCCAAAAAGACCAAACAACCAACCGAAGAAAAGTGTGATCAAAGCATGTCTCGTCTCCATCCTACACTTTTCTGATAGCTGAATAAGCCCTATCCCTCCGGTGAACAATGATATGATGAATAACGATATGTATAACAAAGACAACACGTTGTTCGTAAACAAGAGTGAACATTGTAGCGGCGTTGTGAACACTAGGTACAAGGCAAGCTCCGAGAACACAACCTGAGGAATCCTCTCTTTAGGTGCAGTAAACTCCGTGTAGCAAGTGGAGGGAGGATGGGTGAAAAAGAGATATCTGAGTAGCGTCACTGCGTAGAATGTTGTGGCACTGACCGCACCGTCTCTTAGGAACCGAGACGTCGATGACGAGTCACCAGGTGGCCAGAGAAGGTTGAGGGATATGGAGAGGCCAAAGAGCGAGAGTAGAGTCATGGCATACCATATTCCTCTGCATACAATAACATCTCTTTTACTCTTTATGTTCTCCATTACGTTTCTCATCTTCTTACTTTTAGGTTTTAGCTTCTCCTCAGTGTGGTAGGGGTTCGGAGACTTAATATAGGGATGATGATGAAGTAGGGTTTTTGACTTTTCGCGTATAAAGATTATCACAATCACAACAAAACTAACATAATAAAAAATTAAAAATAAATCAAAAGACTTATCCGTTACCGTTAGTTATCTCGTTGGGATTTTATTATAACTCTTTCTCAGAAAAACTTCATGAGGAATCACTCTCTTTTGGACGTTCAATAAGATCAAGATATTTTAAAGATAAAGAAAAGATTGATGAAACGTACCACTAAACCTGTCGTGCTCCTTGATACTGCTGTAAACCCAAGAACAGTTAGAGGTTTGCAATCTCAATCCTATAACTACTATTACTTAATCTGCTATATATACCTATGCAAGTTTAATCTTATATATTATACGTATAAATTACTACTTACAATAATATAAACCACTTAAACTAACCAGCATATTTAAATTGCATGGTATAGACTGATCCATTAGTGTTATAAATATTCAAATTCTCCACCACCATTTCTAGTATCCATAGCTAACCGTCATAGATCAACTCTAAAAGCTAATTCCATGTTGCTAAAAGCAGAGACATACAAAAAAAAAACAAAGAGTTGTCAAATGAAGACGTTTGCTTAAGAGAGAAATGTAGTGAGAAGCTACATTCAAATTTTCATCAACACATGCGCAGAGAACCCAAAAGATTTAACATTTGAGTCCCATTTAACAGAGAGAAACAACATATTCAAACAAAGTAATCACAGAGAGTCAAACAAAGCTTTAACAAGAAATTGCTAATTTATGAGGCTTAGATCAAAGTTGTCATGTTTTTGAAGACAAATCTGTATTCTCTGATTCAAGAGCCTTTGGGATGCAGACGTATATGCAGAGAACATGAGAGCTTTGTTCTTCTTTAATCATGGCCATGTATCTCTCTCCCTCTCTGGTAATGGGAAAAGTTTCATAGAGAGTGTCCGTTAATGCATTTTTGTAGCTCAGAATTCTTCCATGTAGACTCGGGAAGAAACATATCATGTTTTTCCAATTATTTTTTTATTGATAATAGTATACATAGTAAGCTTTTGAGTTGGTACACACCCAACAGCAGACGTTTGCTAGTTTTTAGTACCTGAATCCTCTGTTCCAGAAGTACAGTTACTTCAAAGTTCACAATTGCTTTTTTAGTAGGTAAAAATTGCATTATAATCCATTTATCTTCAGTCTTGCATATCTGTGGTACTACTATTAATAACCAATGACCCTATTATTAAACTCTGAACCTCATTTTTGATGGAGTTAACACAACCTATTCATATCTGATCTGATGGTCAACCACTAAGTGCCACACAGAGACATTTCCTTGAGGAAAACTAAAACCCATAAACACCAACTTGTTAAGAAACTAGCCTGTTGCCATGTCATTGATCAACCAGCAATCTTGAGTAAAAAGAGTTGAAATTACATTAGTAAATAAATAGACGTATAATCATCAGACCACATTTTCCTGTCCCTTGTACATCAAAATGTGGACATTTTTCTACAAAGAGAGCTGTGTAAAGAGCAATTCTAACTCCTTCTCTTGGGACAATGTTCTCTGTAAACAACACAGAAACATAAGTTAGTTTCAAAAGGTTTCATAGTATATAGTTATGTGAAGATGATGATGATTAACTTACTTGGACAGATAAAAGGTCGTTGATTTTGTTGAGAACCTTGAGACGATGAACTGCATAAACACTGTTTGATGGCAATTTACCAACCCTTTTGATCTCTTCCTGAATCACACTCGTTTTCTCATCACAATCCATCTCATTCCATCTATCTCCCACACGATTACCTCTGCTTCCCATCTCTCTAATTCTTTACTCAAAGATCTTCCGTTGCTTTTTCCGCTGATCAATGAAAAACTACCTCAATTAAGACACCTACAACGAAAGTGATTAGCAAAATTAGACCAGAAATTCAAGAACTTTGTGTTTGATCGAAAACAGAACAGAACCGAACATAACATAACAGAAAGTTTGAGTTTTTACATCAAGGGTCACGAATTCAGAGCTCGCAGTTTCCGATTTTGGTACACTTTCGAATCACTCGAGAGAAATTTCGAAAATAGTGGCCGAGAAATGTCTTTGAACCCTAAATTCGATTGCGGTCTTCTAATCAAATAAATTTGGCTTTTTGATTTTTTCTTTCAGTTATTTACTTACCCGACCCGTAACCCGACATGTAACCCGACCCGGGACCTAGCTCACAAAGAACCCTTAAGCCCTAAAAATCTCCGATCACATCTGAATCTGCTTCTTCCTAGCAATGGCATCTTCAAGAGTGTTAGGCAGATTCTCGTCTCGATTAAAGCCACTATGTCAAAATCTCAGCAACAAGAATGCCAATGTTTCATCACTCCCCTCTCCCATCAAATCTGCTTCACCTTCCTCAGCAACTACTTGTCGTCTCAATCGATCTTCAAGGTCCGTGTTTTGTATAAACTTCACTATCAATGAAAAAAAAAACCTTCCTTTTATCCTCACTATCAATGGGTTTTGAATCTGAGTGATTCTGTGTCGCTTACTTGCTTATAATCTGAAATCTGAATCAACAAAGTCAAAATCTTTCTAAGAAAATTACAATTTTGATCAACTTCTTTGATGGTTTTTATTCAGATTACCAGTGGAGTTGAGCTCGATGATACCTCTACACAGTGCTATAGCATCGTCCAGGCTAGTCTCAAGTTTGTCCATTGAATCCAAAATCTGGGGATTAGTTCCTCAAGGTCAGTTTTTGTTTTGATATTCATCTTTCTACTGGCCTAAGATTTAGAGCATTAGAATTACCATATGGCTTTACTTTACATATGTCTATCAACACTCAACACATTCTGTTGTTTCTCTGTATTGCAATTGTATCTTTTATACTGTGTATATGGCGATAACTGTGATTATGCGTCAATTTGAATCCGATAGTTAGCTCCGCGAATAAGGATGTACATAAACTTGATAGCAACAGAAGTATGTGATCATACAGCATTATCATTTGTGAATCTGATGAACTTGAATCCTTTTATGTATGTGTATGGATCTAAACAGATCAATCACACATTACTTCTAAGTTTGGTTTTGTTGCTTAGTTCAATATATTGACATGAATCATTTCTTTCAAATTGCAGGTCTTTCATTGCCTTTATGACAGTATTGTTTTCTCATCTTACAACAAGTTTCCAGGAGGATAGAGACATTAAAGAACGCTTGGATTGTATCGTTCTTATAAGCTTTTATTCACATCAAAGGTCATGTAGTTTAGATTCTGTTATCTTGCGCTTTTGAGTTAATCAGAAACTGAGTAATCAATGTAATGTTGCAGGCAAGATCTTTCATCTTTGGAAATTTCTTTTTTTTTTTCTCATGCAATTTCTTTAGCTTAACCATGGGTGACTAAAAGATCAATCAGCAGCCTTTAGATCTTCATAAATTATATTGAAATGCAATGATTTGATTTGTTTAAGACACATTTGTCCACTTGGCATCTTGAAATGGATGATTACAACTTGCAAGAACCAATTGGATACTTGCTATGACAACTCCAACTCAATAGTGTCGTGTAATCAATAACCTTGACTAATTTGTTATTTCATCAATCTCAAGTCATGTTACTTACTATATGGTTTTTTGTTTGTTTTCTTTTCTCTCCTACAATTAAGCTCTTTGACGTACGCAATCTTCGGAGCCAGCCAACTCTTATATCAACCATTTACTCCACGTTGTCTCCAATAATTGGACGTTGAAACTTGAAACAACGTAAACGTATCTATCTGGTGATTGTATATAACATATGTACATACACACACCTTTCTCCTCTTTCACTTCATCACCTGCCTTGTGATTTCATGAATTCCGGCGAAATGGAACCTCGAATCAATGACCTTCAGATTGAATCTCGGGTTCATGCGTTGCTTGATTTTCCGGTTCGTACAAACCAGATGCCCTCTGCAATTTACCAGGTACTATCATATCATATTGGTATACTATAATAAGAACCAATAAGTAATACAGATCCTATTACAGTGTCCGAACGACGATACCGAAGAGCTCAACATTGAGAACTCAAAGAAGAAACCATACAAGTGTCCATACTCAGGAGCCAAGTGTAATGTCACAGGAGATATTCAAAGGCTGCTTCTGCATCTAAGGAATGATCACAATGTTGAAATGCATGATGGGCGTAGTTTCAGTCATAGATATGTTCATCATAATCCTAAACATCTTCACCATGCTACTTGTATGTTAACCGTAAGTTATATAACTGAGATTACTTATCTTGCTCTGTCTCTGCAACTTTGTGAATTATTAACCCACACCAAACCAATGCAGCTTCTCGATTGTTTTGGTCGACAATTCTGCTTATACTTCGAAGCATTTCACCTGAGGAAAACACCAATGTACATAGCATTTATGCAGTTTATGGGAGATGAAGAAGAAGCAATGAGCTTCAGCTATAGTTTGGAGGTCGGTGGCAATGGCAGAAAGCTGACATGGCAAGGCGTGCCAAGGAGCATTCGTGACAGTCACAAGACGGTTCGTGATAGTCAAGATGGCTTAATCATCACTCGCAAATTGGCTTCGTTCTTCTGTACCGACAACAACACCACCAACAAGGAACTGAAGTTGAAGGTTTCAGGCCGTGTATGGAGAGAACAGCCTATTTCGTTATGAATTTGATAATTAGGTCACACTATTGGACAGCTAAAGTTATAGAATATTTGGTAACAAAAATATCTTTTCTTGATTTAAAAAATTAAATAGCAATTTAGAGGGAAATGTGTAGCTAAACTGGTGATTATGTGGCTCAATCCTTCACAAGGGGAGAGAATAAACAACACAATCACCACATTTTTGCTTCACAATTCAACTGAAAAAAAAAGAAGCACAACAGAGCCTCTGAGAGGCCAGAGGGTTGGATATGGAATAGGAGCAGAGACTTAGAAACATCTTTCTCTCGTCCTTCAACATTTTTTACTAATAAGTCTCAAGATACAGTTCGGCCATAGCTTAACGATGCAAGATAGAGATTCTTTCCCCATTTTTCCTGCACAACAAAAATGCACACGATATCAGGTATTGTTCATGGGAAGGGAGAAAAAGAGTTCAAGAGATTGATTAGTAATCTTTTTTAGCTGTTCTACTCACCTTGACATGTGTGCTGGGGAATTGAGAGGTACGCAAAGTCTCTTGCGTCTCATCAACCAGTCTACGACGTGGGATGCTTAAGATGAGAGCAGCTTGATCGGTTGTTGCTGCTGTTGATGTGATTCTGAATCCACCATCCCAACGCCTGTGGATTCCTTCACTTGGATACAGAAAATCAAGTTCCACAACCTGTGGAGATATATGCAGAGACAGGAGAATTACAGGATTAGAAATCAACGCGTCAGATCCAAAAATTGAAGGAAACGGAAGAAAATCATCACATGAAGGCATTGATGTTTGTTGAAGTCTAACCTGTTCACTGTAGCCAGAATTGCGGGACATAACAACACCCCACCGGCTTCCAGCTGTTGCCATTGAGGTTACATGGAAGCCTTCTCTCCATTTCTTGTTTATCCACTTGAACGGGAATGAATCGCTTACTTTGTAAGACTGCTGTGTATACTGTGTACCTTCATAATCCATTTTAAAACCAAACATCGAATAAGCCACAAATTCCGAGACTAGTAAAATACCATTCATAAAGAAAGCATTTAAAAGTATTCATGAAAGCAGGGAAAATGTAGATACCTTTTGACATGACAACTAAGGAGCTTCCATTGTTTGCACCAGCAATGGAACTAATGTAGTAGTTCTTCTCCCACTGTTCCATAATCCATTCCTGATCCAAAACAGAATTCACTCTCAGGTAAGATCATCTTGACAGATAACAGACAAAAAAATAATTAACAGAGAAACATCAGACCACCTTGTGCAAGAATACAGGAGAGAGTTCATAGACTTGGTTAGTGAAGCCAGTTCCAGCATCCATTATCAATGCCCAGAGATTCGAACATGATGATACACAGCTTATCAACAAACCATCTGCAATACCTCTCTCAATATGCTGTGCCAGTCTTATATCAGCCACATTATAATGATACCTGGTCGAAAAACTAAATCGTCAGTCCAATAATTTTTTTCACCATAGGCACATAAAGGCCAAGCATCTAAGATTATAATATAACCAAGAAAAAAGAACTTGAGACATAAACGCAGTCCCGGCCATACACTTTCGATTCCCTCTGGAGGCAGTAGACCGATCAAGTACATTAACAGTTCACTGACAGTACAATTAACCATGAACTTTTTTTACCTCTGCTTCATTGGTTGCCTGGCATTGTAAATCGATATCCATTGCGTTGCAGGGACTCCTAGACGGACTTTTTTCCTAGGTGCATCTTCTTCTTCTTCCCCAATGCTCAACCTACCTCGCTTCTGTCCAACTTGGAAAATGATCTAGCACAGAAAAAAAAAAAAAAAAGTTAAACAACGACTCCACGATGTACAAATAGGAACGAAAGGGAAAGATGAACAGCATGAAAACGTCACCTTTTGAGCACCCTCTGTGTTTATAGGCCTAATTGCCGGATTTTCGCCCAAGAGGTCTTGAAACAGAGATACTAACTTGCCATAGTTGGGTTCTTCATCAAACTTCATATTTACCACGATCTCAAGAAATTGCTTGAAAGGAGGGGGACAAAAACAACAAAGCATATCTGGCGATGTTGCCATCTTCTTTTTGCAAACAAGGAATGACTTGTTATCTCCCTGAAAATTGAGTAAGAGAAAGGATTAGCAGAGAAAGAATCACGATAACAGCATCATTCTACAAAACATAAGGATAGGTCTGCAGTACCTGATATCCTTGCCACGGCAATCTACCTCGGTGAAGAAAGATCAGTGTATATGCCAATGACTCGAGATCATCCCTTCTGCTAGCAGTTCTCCCCAAATGAGCATGTGCACTTGCGTATCTAACTGTCCCTCTACAAAAATTAAGAAGAGAAAGATTCAAGAAAAGAAGTAAGAGTGGGTATAAAATTTATATTAGGTAACAGTAGAAGATAAATTACCTAAACATATCAGGACGTTGATCATATTCAACGTGTTGTCCGCTACCACCTTCTCTCCACTTTGTTGCTGAAAAGTTGGTTAAAAAAATGAGAAAGGTAAAGAAGAACCTAGCAAGAATAACAAAGAGAATGAAATCAACCAACCTAGTCCCAAATCAACAAGAAACAGTTTTTTCTCTTGAGACGTTGAAGGCTGGCCGAGTAAGAAATTTTCTGGCTTAACATCCCCATGCACATAACTGAAACCGAAGCAAAAACCTGTTAGGCTAGTTAATAGAGAGAAAACATACGAACTTAGAGGTGCCGAGACACAAAACAGATATCAGAAGAAACCTCGGACAACCAAGTTAAATACAAAAACAAAAATAAAGTTCAGTTACAAACCCTTTTGCATGCATCTTTTCAAGGATGGAAAGTGATTCAACCGCAATGCAAGCTACCATTTCCGAGGACATTCTGCAAAGCAAAGGGGGAAAAGAATTGTCAGGGAAGTAAAATTTCAATCAGTAAGGGATTTTCTAAAAGGAAAATGTTACTCAGTACGGACTTATGTACCAAGTATCATTTTATAAAACAAGGAGCAACAACACATTTAACTACGCTAATTGAAAGAAAGACAAGAGCTCCCCCAGCATGTGTAATGGAGACTCACGCTTGCCCTGAAGTATTCCATAAATCCCATAAGCTAGGCCCGAGCATGTCCATAACCTGAGGCCAAAAAAAAAAAAGGGAGGATCTAACATCAATGATACAGACAGAAGAAAAGCAGCAGAAATAGGAGAAAGGGGGAATCCAGTACCATGACATAATAATCTCCTTGCCTCCCTTTGAAATGTACTCTAGGGACTCCATGGCTACCACCCAAGGTGCTGTTCACAATAAAAGTAAAATGTTAATTTCACATTTCAAGCCAAGGAAGCACCTACAATCCAGGTAAAGGAATTTAAGAAACATTGAAAGAAAGCCAGGAGAATCAAACACCCACTTGTAAACCTGCCACTCATGTGGAGGACCATAGTTGCAACCCTTACTGCTCCGATGCTCAAACTTTAGCGCAACCTATACAAGAAAGTGAAAATATAAGACACTGTAAGCATAATAAAGCTAACAGAAGTATATTTGCTGTGACAATCCACCACAGTAGTAAACGCAAACCGAGTTACATTACCTCCAAGATGCTAGCTCCTGCACTACGATCATTACCACCACTAATACGACGTCCCACAAATACTTGTCCAAACCCACCCTTCCCCAGCTTCCTCTCAACTTTATATAGTGGTGATCCTCCAACTTGGACCTGAATAGACACAGAATCGTTAGTCATTACCATAAACCAAAGGCAAGGCAAGGCAAAACAACACCAAAAGGTCCAAAGACTATGCATCGAGGAAATGGAAGAAGCAAAGAAATAAATCAATTATACCCTCTCAGGGAAAGGAGCAGTATTTCCTTCTTCTTCCTGAGCAGCCGCCTTGTTAGAGCCACCACTATCATTACCAATCGCCATATCTTTCTTCTCTTCTTCAACGGCTACCTCTTTACCCTTCTTTTTATCGTTATCGGTATCCTTAGACGGTACAATAACCGGAATCTCCTGAGGTATCTCTTTATCTTCCTCCTTTAATTTCCTCGCCGCTAATCTAGTCCTCGGCCTCTCCGCAACTCCTGTAACTCCGCCGGCTACCGCTTTCCTGGTTTTGCCGTTAGTCTTCCTCTGTTTCTTTTCTGTAGGTGTTTGCGGAAGCTGATTGGGAGCTACAGCGTCAGTAACACGGCCACGGCGGACTCCACGGCGAAGCTCCGGCATAGCTCAAACCCCATGCAATCGAGACGGGACACGAAGAGTCCGATCATTATAGTCCTCCAGAAACGAAGGCCTGGCTCATGTCGGATTTGGTAAGCGATTTGAAATATAATCGGAGATTCGATTGCCGATGAAGATGGCGATTTAGGGTTACGACGGTTCAAGTTTGCGATGAGAAAATACAAAATAAAAAAAAAAGTTTATGGATGAAAATTCCCAAAATGGAGAGAGAGAAGAGAGGCGATGTGAAAAAGGATGTCTTTATGCCACGTCGGATATTATGTAAGGAGAAGAGCCAAAAAAATGGAAAATAAAAAATTTAGGTAATAATAATGTGTGTCTTTTTTGAGTCACAATTGTCCGTGACATGCGATTAATTGGAAACAAACGTTTCACGTTTTTGATAAGAAATAAAATTTGATTTTTTTCCTTACTATGGTTATATATGTTTACTATTTTGATTGACTTTTCTATTTCAAACAAAAAATTAGGTAAGCTTAGCTAAATGTATTATTTAATTTCTCCGTTAAATATCAAAATTCTTCTTAGGCAATATAGAGTTTTGATTAGCTACTGATTGGGCTAACTAATCATTATATTATTTCCTATCAAAATTTCAAATAATGTATTCACTAATCAGTTGATGATTTTCAAATCATTTAACACGGAATAGAGAGCCATTGTGCCACTTAATTTGACCCAAATGGTCTATTACAACTACCTTTTTTTTTTTTTTTTTGTGCTTTTTAGATGAAATCAAACCCCATTACAATATAAAATACGTTATTAGACCTCGGAAAAGACAATAACACTCTCATAACAATCACACATTCACACCACAGAACAAGACATAACAAACAAACGCATTCGCAAAATGCAAAG